AGGAGAGGAGGGTCTTTTAAACAGATTAAGTGACGTGTTTCCTGTGTGTGGGGGAGGAGATTCCATCTCGAGGGGAGGTCTCAAAACTGGGTGTGAAAAAACAGCCTATAGAGAGGCAGGGGGCGGGCGTGTGGGCGGACCAATGGCCCTGGTGTGTTTGATGAAGGGGAGTGTAACGTATTTCGTTGGGAAGATGCCGAACAGATGCTCCAGAGTGCAAGCAAATGCGAAGAGAAGATGTGAAGTATTTTGGTTAAGGGAGATGCAAAGTTGACGCTATGTGTGAAAGCAAATAAAGTAGATAGACAATACTGTATAAAAGGATATTTTACTCAAATGACATTTGAGTAACCAAAATACTTCACATCTTCCTCCCACGAGCATTTGCTTGCACTCTAGAGCATCTGTTCGGCATCTTCCCAACGAAATACGTTACACTCCCCTTTATCAAACACACCAGGGCCATTGGTCTTAAAGGGGCTATCTATCTTTCTGATATTTATCATAAATCACACTTCAATAAAGTGTAGTATAGCCACAGGTGTTTAGCTCCCTGCTGCCCACCCACTTTGTCAAAGCATCACCCTCTTATACATGTAATGCCGTAAGAAGGTCTTGCCTTACCACTGCGGCTACATGTCCTGTTTTAGAGGGGAAGTTAAAATAATGTATCAATACATCTTCTATTTACTTCTTACTTCAGTTTGTTTTCTTTTGTACCTGAGTGACTAATCTGATATTAAACAACTAGTAAGGTGGTATTACCATTTTATTGCAGCCTTGAGGTGAGATTTTGTTCCAGAGAAGAAAAGCATGGGCGATGGGCAGTAACTGTGTGTAGTCACATGGTCAGACCTCTCTGTGATAATGGGCATAGCATACATACGTCGTATAAGGGACATTGCACAATGTGTACACTTTATATGTTTATGTTGCATCTCATTGAATGTGTTTGTGTGTCCTGTTTTGTAGACTATCTGCCAGAAAACGGACTCGTACTCTCCGGAGTATGAAGCCAGCACCAGGGCACTGAAAGCCATCAGTAAGGTGCGTTCCCGTCTTTAACTACGCTCCAATGGATGCTGTATGTGCGGTCTTCCACTGGTTTAAGGATTATGGATCTGAACTTCTCTAGTCTGGTCATCAGATCTTTGCACAGCAGATTCAGCCGAGTCATTTCTGTTTTTGTTTTTTTGTTTCTAGCTGGTAAAGCAATGCAACGAGGGGGCTCGGAAAATGGAGAGGACAGAAATGATGTACACGCTTCAAACACAGCTTGAATTTGGAAAGATAAAGGTAGGGAGAAGGGTTCTCTTATCCTGTATCGGGATGTGTCATGTTGTGAAGTACGACTTAAAGCAGAAGTAAACTCTGCTTCCGGTGCTCTGGGGGTTCTTGCCATAAGGTGCAAGCATGCCCAGCATAGTTGCACATTATGGCAGACTTGACTTTTTTTCACCGGGGCAGCTGTGATGGTCCTTGTTGTGCCGTCGCTGCTGTGGACATCTTTGCCCGGCCTTCTTCTGGGTACAGCTTCTTTGGCCATCTTAATTGGCCAGCCCAGGATGGCATAACTCCGGCGCATGTGTGCATCTGTTCATCCCAAGTATATACAGTATGTCACCAGCACACCAGAATCAAGTGTCCAAACTCATCTTTATTGACGCATGTTACACATTGTAACAGAGAAGGCAATGTTTTGGGGCCACTTTGGGTCCCTTCATGATGTCATATTGTGCCTGATGATGCCTGCACCTCTGTCCGGTATTGCTGGAAGTACAAGAAAGATGTGAAATGCTGGATCTCTTAATGTGGTGGCGTTTTTTAACAGAGAAGAGGGAATGATTCTCTTTAAAGGAGAACTATGGGGTTAAGGCTTTTCCCCATAGTTCTCAGGGTAACGGGAGGACACAAACTAGTCTCTTCCCGTCACCCTAGGCTCAGTATATAGGGAGCTGTAGCTCGCGGTATACTGAGACGCCGCAGCTTAAGCGGATCCCGACAGTTGTGCCGGGATCCGCCCAGCTGCATGACTGACAGCTGGTTCTGCCTATCTAGAGGCAGAGCCAGCTGTACACTCCCCCGTCTGTTCCGCCAGTCAGCGCTGGAGGAGGGGGGAATCCATCCCCTCCCCTGTCACGGCAGAGAGCCGTGGCAGGATGGAGAGGTGAGCGAACGCCGGTATGTGCCGACCTGTGACAGTCTCATTGTCACAGGTCGGCTAGAACTATGAGGTGAGTGAAAAGCACTCACCTCATAGTTCTCCTTTTAAGTAGCTCTCCCAGGAGTGGTGGCCAAAGGTCGTATTTTTTTTTCTCTCAAGTAGGAGCTGCGTATGCAAGGAGGAAAGTGCCCAAAGCAGAACATATAAAAGTCAAGATTTCATTTTATTCAGATCCTTGTATCCTAAAAAGCCAACATGTTTCAGGTGTTCAAAGGGTCCACCTTCATAGGGCTTGGTATTCTTGAGCAAAGTATGTACTTGCCTGATAGAATTGGAGGGATCATGAGCAGTAGTAGTATGATTGCTTCAAATACTGGTTAGGCCCGGCATCTGGAGAGGTCATTACATCTACCGCTCAGGAGCCCACCTGTTCGTTCAGTCCAGTAGACTCTTTGTTCAACAATACCGAGCCTTGATGAAGGGGGACCCTTCGAACGCCTTGAAATGTGTTGGCTTTTAATGCTATTAAGAGTCTAAATAAAATGTAATCTGAACTTTACATACTGCTTACCTCCTTGCACCCCCAGGTTTTAATTGCCGTCTGTGTTCACCGCTTGGGAGATTCACTCTCTTGTCTTGGTGACCATTGTCACTGAGATAGAACGAGATGGGAATCTGGAATTATTATACAGTTGTCACCGGAAGAGAAGATGAGGGAAAATCTTACAAGGGGAATGCCTGTTCTGGTGATGACAGTCTAAGAAGGCCTTCCTCTCACTACCTGTGGTGTCTCTGAGACAGGAAATGAAGGGTATGCTTTAGATACATTTTTATATTATGGGATGGGCATGTAGTGTCTGTGCACCTCACTTGTGCTACACGTTTGATAGTGTTCAGTTAGGGGGCGTAGAGAGCAGCGCCAATGAAAAATCAGCCAGCACCCCTAACTTTTTCAGTGGACTCTAGACATGACAGTTAGGCAATGACTTCTGATTGGTCAACATCCCCTGTTGTCGGCTCTGCCCGTGTAAGCTCATTGACATATGCAGTGTATATTTTAAATGCAAAAATAAATTTTTTGACTGTCATACACTCTCCGCACACAGCCCTTCCCTCTGATCTCCGCCTCCCGCTGGCTTCTAAAGAGAGGTGAACTTGCGCTGGTGGAAGAAGCTGGAATCTTCCGCAAAGGCTTTGGGAGGCCTTACTGCTACATTTTCCTGTTTAACGACGTTCTCATCATTACCAAGAAGAAGAAGTAAGTGGGGGAAATATTTATAGTTTAGGGTTACGTTGAAATGCGTACATTCTGTTCTGGAATTCTTTTCAGTCGCTCTTCAGACAGCCCATCTGGGTCCCTGACCTCACTTTTTTCAAATGAGCGATAGAGGTTGGTCATTTGCCCGCTCCCAGCCTGCTGATTGGACAGTGAAGGAGCGGTAGTATTCATTCTGCTCAGTCTTTTAAACAGAATGGGTAGCAGCTCTTCAAAACCTATAATGCAGTGATGTTAGGTGAGCATTGCAGTCCCAAACAGAACCGTTCTCGGTGGACTTTTGAACAGTGGGTTCCCGTGGCTCTGATCCATCCTGTGTCTGATTTTAACTGATTTTAAAATAGTTTTCTACTATTCTAACCCCCCAGCGATGACAGCTATCTGGTGATGGACTATGTGACGACAGATAAGTACGCAGTGGATGAGATCGATAATGGAGAGACCGTGATTTCTCCCACAGCAAAGTCGGGGACCTCTGGAAGCCGAAGTCCGGCCGGGCCCTATTTGTTCCAGATAACCATGAAGAAGAACAGCGAGGGGCGGCCAGAGCAGATTGTGCTGGCAACAGATACAACGTGAGTACTTGGAGAAATTCTAAGTCATGGTAGCGTGTGACGGAAACCCTCGAGTTACAGTAGAGAGACCGAATGGATCCTGATCATGACTAGTACCGAAAATTAAACTTTAAGATGCAGCGAGCAAAACCTATTCACTGTTTTTGTTTTCTCCTTCGACTCCTTCTCCTCGACTCCTTCTCCTCCTTTTTCCTTCTCCTTCGACTCCTTCTATTCAGCCACTGCTATAAATGTCCCAGTCCAAGTCACCCCATAATCAAGAAATGCTGAAACCCAAATCTGACTTTACATCATTTTTCAGGCGTGTGCTTTAGAATGTAGTTAAAGGAGAACTATGAGGTGAGTGCTTTTCACTCCCCTCATAGTTCTAGCCGACCTGTGACAATGAGACTGTCACAGGTCGGCTCAGTAGATCGGGAGGTGAGCGAACACATACCGGCGTTCGCTCACCTCTCGCTCACCTGCGGCGTCTCAGTATACCGCGAGCTACAGCTCGCTGTATACTGAGCCTAGGGTGACGGGAGGACGCTAGTTTGTGTCCTCCCGTTACCTTAAGGAGAACTATGGGGAAAAGCCTTAACCCCATAGTTCTCCTTTAAGCCAGGGATGTCCTGGTAGAAAGCATGTGGACACTTCCTAATACTTGAATAACTAAATGTGCCGAGCTACAACAATGAGCAATACAATAAAACAATCTGTGACTCAAACAGATGTCAGCGAATGAATAGTAAAATGGATCAGATGTGAAGTCTATAAATGTTCATAACTCTTGACAAGATGTCCATATATAAACAGCAATAGTGATGAATATTTCTTGTTTCTTCACCAAATACACCACACCAGATATAGGGGTGCTCACCTTAATGATAGACCCCAACAAAAGGTCAAATCAGGCAATTGGCTTCTTAACCAGGGGAGGGGGCCCTTTGGCTCCGATCACTCCCAGATGTCCTCCAATAATGTAATCAGACCAGCAGACAGATCTGTATATCACTTCTTAAGTAGGGAAACAATAACCTCCGATCTTTAGCAAACTGTAGGCCTCCTCAGTATAGGATGTCAATACCAATACCAGGATCGTGTTATCCAATAGGAGAACGCAAACACCATTATGGTCTGATTACATTATCCGCCTGCTGGTTGGTGCCCGCAACTTCCCCACAAGGTCACTGCTGCCACCCCGAGGCCGGGCCTCGGTGGCCTTGTGGGAAATCCGGGCCTGGCTGGTGTAATTACATTATTGGAGGACGTCTGTGAGTGATCGGCGCTGAGGGTCCCCTCCCCTGGTTAGGAACGCAATTGCCTGATTTGACCTTTTGTTGGGGTCCATCATTAAGGTGAGCACCGCACCCCTATATCTGGTGTGGTGCATTTTGGTGAAGGAACGAGAAATATTCATCACTATTGCTGTTTATATATGGACATCTTCAGAGTTATGAACATTTTCTAGACTTCACATCGGATCCATTTTAATATTCATTCGCTGACATTTGTTTGAGTCACAGATTGTTTTTTTGTATTGCTCATTGTTTTAGCTCGGCACATTTAGTTATTCATTTTTCACGTATACACACTTGCAGTGGGTGCACATTCCAGTGCCTTGTAGCTGTTGGCTTGCTTATTGGCGCAGTTAATTTTGATATATACTTACTAATACTTGTTTCTGTTTGAAGGAGTGACCGGGCCCGATGGATTACAGCGCTAGAGGTCAGAGAAGAAAATAAGCGTTATAGCAAGTCCAAGACGGCAGGTGAGAGAAAATGGGGACGTTTGGTAGCTATAACAATTACGGGGAGAGGGTAAAGAGCAGCAAGATCATATAGGTGTAGTGGTCAGGTATCCAACATGGTCATTCAAGTGTAAAGGTCAGGTATCCAGGGACCAAGTGTCCAACAAGGTCATTTAGATGTGATAGGCATCCAACAAGGTCATATAGGTGTGAAGGTCAGGTGTCCAACAAAGCCATATAGGTGTGATGGTCAGGTGTCCAACAAGGTCATGTAGGTGTGAATGTTGGGAATTCAACAGGGTAATACAGGTGTGGTGGTAAGAGGTTAAACAAGGTAATATACTGTAGGTGTGATGACTTTATGTCCAAAAAAGTCAGATAGTGTCTGATGGTCAGATATCCAACAAGGTCATATAGGTGTGATGGTCGGGTGTCCAACATGGTCATATAGGTGTGATGGTCGGGTGTCCAACAAAGCCATATAGGTGTGATGGTCGGGTGTCCAACAAAGCCATATAGGTGTGATGGTCGGGTGTCCAACAAAGCCATATAGGTGTGATGGTCGGGTGTCCAACAAAGCCATATAGGTGTGATGGTCGGGTGTCCAACAAAGCCATATAGCTGTGACGGTCGCGTGTCCAACAAAGCCATATAGGTGTGATGGTCGGGTGTCCAACATAGTCATATAGGTGTGATGGTCGGGTGTCCAACAAAGCCATATAGGTGTGATGGTCGGGTGTCCAACAAAGCCATATAGGTGTGATGGTCGGGTGTCCAACATGGTCATACAGGTATCTCAAAACAAAATCACAAAGGTGTCATAATCAGATGTCCACAAACTTTTGGCCATATAGAGTATGTTTATCATCTATGCACAGAAAGTTTTTATAACATGGACTCAAGGGTTGCAATAAGATGATCACATCTACATGTGTACTGAGGAACCCAAACTGGAAATGGACAATAGTTTTCCCTTTACAGGTTTTCTTGGAAGTGACACAGTGGAAGTGTTTTTGGAATATCTGTGGAGAGCTGAGACCGGATGCTGTGATGAGACTCGCCTTGGCTCCCACATTCTAATTGTGTCTTCTTCTCTTCCAGGATTGCTCCAGGTGGAGATTATAAAGGCCTACATGGCGAAACAGGCAGACGAGGTGTCTCTGCAGCAAACAGACGTTGTCTTGGTGCTTCAGGATGAAGACGGTAATACATATCAGCGTCATAATTCATCATTTGCACAACAGGTTGTTGCTGTTGTGTTTTTTTTTTTGGCACCAATATCTTTAGCTTGTATTACTGTAGCAGCTTTTGTTGCCGTAATGATCATTGTTCTGCATCACTGTTTCTGTTCTTTTAGGTTGGTATCGGGGTGAACGACTGCGCGACGGAGAGCGGGGTTGGTTCCCCGGGTCTTGCGCTAAAGAAATCACTAGCCAGGTAGCCGTGGAGCGGAACGTGAAACGTATGGAGAGGCTGCGGCTCGAAACCGACGTGTAACCAAACTTAGTGGTTTGTTTTTTTAAATTGTAACAAATGGACACTCCGAGGTGCTTATGTGCGGCTCAGGGCACACGTAGGGCTGTACTTGAGGACTCCGTTCATAACGTGTAGGAACATTGGTGAGCCGTTGGACACGTGTGATTGATTTTTTTTTTTTTTCCAATTTTTGTGTGAACATTTTTACACTTTTTTTGTAACCTAACCAGCACTGGAAGGGATTTCAGATCTCCACCAACACGTTTCTTACCTCTATTGCCCGAAATTCTCAATATTATGTCCTCTGTTCCTCTAAAACTGTGTATTCTTTTCATGTGGACTGTTATCGGACTTCTTCTTCTTCTATCGTGTATGGTACAAAGGTTTTTGTCATTGGTGGTGTAAGAGTTTCACAATAGCAGAGCTGTACATGTAAATCTGCATGGGGTATAAGGCCTCATTCACACTAGAAACGGCCAGTGATCGATCAATAGTACGAACTTATCGAGTTGTGGGACCGCATGACTTCCGGTTTCCTCAGAACTACGAGGTTTGCACACAAAACATGTTGTGCACGAGCGCCATCCACGGCATTGCCCTATACACATAGACCACAGCAATAAAGTAATAAAATGATCTAGGATGACAGTAAGCCAGCACGTTCTTTATCTCAGGTGCCCCACTCAAGCGGCGGCCATATTGAGTGGGGCACCTGAGATAAAGAACGTGCTGGCTTACTGTCATCCTACATCATTTAATAACTGTATTGCTGTGGTCTATGTGTATAGGGCAATGCCGTGGATGGCGCTCGTGCACAACATGTTTTGTGTGCAAACCTCGTAGTTCTGAGGAAACCGGAAGTCATGCGGTCCCACAACTCGATAAGTTCGCACTTTCGATACATCACCGGCACGTATAGCTCCGTGCTGCGTGCACAGCCGTATCGCTCAGTTCCCCGGGAAGGACAGGTGCTGCGTGTGATTAGTACACAGCCCCCGTCCTTCTCTATGGGACTACGCGGCCATACGCCCCCCTACGCTCACCTCAAGTGTAGGTCCTTACGGGTGTGTCCTGGCTCGGATGCAGACAGGATACATCCTGCCAGAGTACGAGTACGCTCACCCGTACGGCTGTGCAGGGCGGGTGAGCGTAGGGCAGCATACGGCCGCGTAGTTCCATAGAGAAGGACAGGAGCTATGTACGAATCACACGCAGCACCTGTCCTTCCTGGGAGCTGAGCGATACGGCCCTGCACACAGCACGGAGCTGTACGGACCGGCCGATTCCAGTGTGAATGAGCCCTTAGGGAGGAACTTTTCTTTGTAAATATTTGTTCCTTATAAATCAAAACAACACTCAATATTTTTAATATAGTAGTAACAGAAGCCACATGGATTCTAAATAAAGTGTACTAGTGGGCGATGTGCCATATATATATATATATTTTTTTTTATATATTTTTGATTTAGGTTCTCTTTTGGGCTGAGTTGTATAAGGTGAAGGAGATGATGGTTGTTGCTCATAGAGGTGATGGCTTGTTCATGTACATTTCTGTTCTGCTATTAGCTGCCGCCTAGCTGTGTTTTACACACAAATCTCTTTCTAGATGTCCTGTAGTTTTCATACACCGGGTCCATAGTCTGCATTTTGAAAAATCTCAGCCCAGCAGCTATATACACGACTGAAATACAGTACAGTGGGTTAAAATACTGGGGAGGGGGGGATTTATCAAAACTGGAGCAGCTGTGCATGGTGACCAATCAGCTTCTCTCTTCAGTTTGTTCAGTTAAGATTTGAAAATGAAAGAGAGAAGCTGATTGGTTGCCATGCACAGCTGCTCCAGATTTTGTTTGCTCCAATTTTGATGAATTCCCCTCTGTGTATCATAAGCAACACCATAGGCAGCAAAAATATTAACAATGTGTAACAGTAAAGTGTGTAAATTTAAGCAAATAATAGCTGAAGCATTAGTCCGCATCTCTATGGGAATGTTGAATGATCGATAAATTCCCCCGATGTGTATCATTAAGTACTCCAGACACAACCCCACCACCTACCGGACTGGAGCTCCCCCTATCACAATGACCACATGTCCAAAAATGTCCTATACTCATGAGCTCTATCTAGTGGTCATTATGGGGTATTGTCTGAAAGGGACTCTAAACTCAGGAGTTGAATCTTAAAAATACATGAATGTATCTTATTTGTGTATCACTCGGCTGTAGATCCTCCAATCATCTCTGAATTGGTGCCGACACTGTCCTTCCTTCTGGAGGGTGGCTACTTTTGTCCCCCATGGTCCCTGTGTGTGTTGTAAAGTAGTCAACGCTCCAAGCACACTCCTGTGATAGACTACAATCTCATGTTTAGTATGGAGATTATTGTTCCTTTTACAGCTGAGCAACTTTTATTAAAGCTGGTTATATCTGAGAATTAGAATTTGGTGTTCCATAGGTTTCAAGCCAGTTGCACAATCACCTGAGATCAGCAGCTCTTGTTTGTAACTATGCAAAGTTTTATCGATAAACATTACAATTTTTTTTTTAAACGAAGTGGCTTTTTATTCCTTTTTTTTTGTCATCCATTTTTTTTTTATCAAATAAAGATTGTGAGATTTATCAAACTTGTGAAGCACACAATAGAATTCTATTGTTGGTTAGTAAAACTGCACTACCCAGAGCTGACCACAGGATGGCAGCACAATCCCATGTTACTGGTCCAAATTTCTATAGAAGATTTTGGTGAAGAGTACACCAGTGTAACTCAGGGGTAGGCAACATGGGCACTCCAGCTGCTGTGGAACTACAAGTCCCATGAGGCATTGCAAGGATGACATGACTTCTAGAGGAAGAGGCATGACTGGATTTGTAGTTTCACCACATTTGAAGTACCATGGTTCCCTGCCCTAGGTAAAACTGTTGGTCTTATCCTGAATCCTTTCTAGGTACTCCTGCTAAATCTTTTCTAGGGTTTAATACCATTGCTTCTGGGTTGTTGAGCTTAGAGGGACTGCTCAGGAGATCAGTGGTGCAACTATAACCATAGTAGGCCAGGTGGCTGCCATGGGACCTGGACGTGGAAGGGGCCGCAATAGGTTGTTGTGGGAAACTTAACATAGAACATGTGAAGATAATACAGCACTGTATAATTGGGGTTGGAGTGGTTTCAGTTGACGGCGACTTTAATCCCCTGTAAAGTCTACGATGTAGAGACGACTTTGGGTGAACAAGAGGAGTCTTTGGGATTTTGGCATTGTTACTTACAGAACAGAGAGAGGTCATCAGGAGGGGCCTCGTCACATGTCTTACTGTATAACTGGTAACAAATTGTTGAGTGCGTTTGTCGTTTGTTTTGCTCGTCACATGGGGCCCCGTGATCTGTAGCTATGGCCCTGCTGGAGAGTCGTGACTATGATGCTATGACCTGAATTAAGCTAGAGAGGCAAGTATAGTATGAAATATATGACGATACTTCTGAAGTGTAATTTGCAACCTGCGGGCACTCCAGCTGCTGTGGAACTGCAACTCCCCATGAGGCATTGCAAGACTGACAGCCATAGACATGACTCCCAGAGACAAAGACATTTCTGCTGCACAGTTCCAGCGGCTATAAACAGCTCAGACAGCACATATTCAACACTTAGACCCCATTCACACCATGTCCATAAGGCTGCATTGGCCAACACAGGCTCAAGGCCATGACAAGCAGAAATCAATTCATTCCAATAGACACGGTGCGTTGCAGTGGCGTAACTAGTGACCTCAGGGCCCCGATGCAAGAATCCATGAAGGCCCCCGCTCCCCACCCCCCCCCCCATATTAGATTATTTTTTTTTTAAACAAAATTTAGACCAGGAAAAAAAAAACACTCTCATGTCCCCAGCTCCCCATTATCTCCCCCTTCATGTCCCCAGCTTTCTGCTCCCGGACCCCATGTCACCTTCCTTCATGCTTCCAGCTCCCTGTCTCCCCCTTCGTGTCCGCAGCAGCTCTATTCGGCACTGGGCAGCCGTTCTGTGTGATGAGGGGGCGGGGATTACACCGCTCCCACTCATTGGCTGCTGCCTGGCTATATGATGCTTCACGCTGCGCCCGGAACAAGGTGAGGGGAGCAGTGTGAAGCATGTAGGGCCCAGGACAGGAGGAAGAGGTCCCGGGACTGACATTAGCGGTTACCGGGATAATAAATATCCTGGTAATCAGCGGTCACCAGGGGCCCCTTCCTCCTGTCCTGGGCCCCCTCCAAGTGGCGGGACTCCCGGGGCCGGCCGCGACCTCTGCGACCCTGGTAGTTCCGCCACTGGTGCGTTGGTGAGCGCTGGGTGAAAATCAAACATGCTGCATTTAAATGCAGAGCAACATTCTACAACGCGTCACAGGGCACTGCAATGTGTATCAAAGGGAAATTCCACCTTTCTTTAAAAAAATAAAAATAAATACTTCTGCATTAAAGAAAAAATGTGCCACGGTTATTTATTTATTTTTGCATAGGAGCCAGTAAAGCATTGAAACCACCATCATGGGATTGGGGGTGCAATGCTCTGGCTCCTGCAGACTCTTCCTCCGGGCCATGTCTGTACTGATTTATGAATCTTCAGGGACAAAGATGGGAGGAAGTGTCAATGGGCTACAAGTGAATCACTTCTGCTCCATTGTATTCCCTTTGTCATGGTGGCTGATGTGACTTGCAGCTTCTCCATTAGCAGATCCCGTCATAGCATCTGCGAATGGAAGACACTGATGTGTGGGTGGAGCCATGCACTGCGGAGATAAAATTAAAAATGAACACTGCGATTCGGTTAAGTGGTGGGGAGTAGGGGGTGCGACGTGACAATGTTTCATGTTACAACCTAGATAGGGTGTAAAGAGAAACATGATCAGAAAGGTAAACTTAACCTACAAGAAAAGCGAAAAGGAGTATTAAAAAAGTTGCACATCAATGCAACAAAACAAAATTGTCATGTCCGCTCAATGCATGCTAAATGCAACGTATGTGGAATGAATCCGACCTTTTCCTGTACACTCGCCTATTGCCCCATAAGCTGCTCCCTCTTCTGTTTGACCAGTTCAGTCACCTGATTTATGGATATTCAGTGACAAAGATGGGAGGAAGTGTCAATGGGCTACAAGTGAATCACTTCTGCTCCATTGTATTCCCTTTGTCATGGTGGCTGATGGGACTTGAAGCTTCTCCTTTGAAGTGACATTAAAGTCAAACAAATGCCCTCCCCCCCATGTTAATTAAAGCACTTCCCTTAAATTACGTTTCTTCATCCGATCATCTTCTTTCCTGTCCTTTTCATCTGTCCGATCTAGCGCTGACTACACTGTGCTTGCTGGCACTTCCTGTCCCACGGTGTCTGCATGCGGGTGCACGAGTCCTTAGATTTACCTTGTGTCTCTCCTCATCTCACGTCCGAAAATCCGAACTGCACATGCGCACGCCCCAAGGTGCTTTGCGGCCGCCCGAGGATTTTCACGTTTTCGGATAGGAGTGTGTGGGGAAGACACAGGTAAGTATTGACCTCCTTTTTTTTTTTTTGACACTTTTTGCATCTATCTACTGCTTGCTAGCAGTAGATATATGCGGAAAAACCGGAGGCTTTAAATACACTTTAACAGATCCAGTGAACGCATCTGCGAATGGATGATGCAGCTGTGCAGGTAGAGCCATGCACAGCCGTGAAGAAATAAAAAATGAACACCGCGATTCAGGTAAGTGGGGAGGAGGGGGTTGTGACCTGACCAGTGTTTATGTTGCATCCTATATATAGGGTGTTACCTAAAATGTGATCAGAAAGGTAAACGTGACTTACAAGGAAAGCAAAAGGGAGTATTAAAAAACTGCACATCAATGCAACGCAATAAAAAAAGTCATGTCAGCTCAATGCATGCTAAATGCAACGTATGTGGAATGAATCCGACCTTCTCCTCTACACTCACCTATTGCCCCATACGCTGCTCCCTCTTCTGTTTGACCAGTTCAGTCACCTGAGTTCTGGATTCACACACACAATACTCTCATGTTAAATAAAACATTAGTTCTTTATTAAGATAACATTGCATTCCAATAATCGATTTCACTCCAAACAGGTGAAAAAAAAAGTATAAATTATGTCACCTATTTGGCGCTGATACATACAGTCCACACATACAGTCCATTCTCCGCTCATTAGAGGGCCATGGGAATGGTTTGTACAAACGTTTACAGTGAGTGTTCTCCTCTGATGTATTGCCGCCATCGCATGAACACGCTGGATTCCGGTCTGTGCGTGTTGTGCAGTCTGTGGAGTGAGGACGTTCTCATCGTGTTCATTACCATTCAGTAGATTTATTTTAACTGTCTTTACTTTTTTTTATTATATAGATCATAATAAAAGGGGGTTCTCACTTGGGACCTATACCAATGCCCTTCGTACAGTGCGCTACCTACAGGCTGCCCTTTTCTCAAAGCCCAATTGAACTTTCAGTTGAAATTGCCTAAATATATTCCAGAGAAAGGAGCAAGAAGTCTTACAGTGCATTCTATCTTAATAAGCAGCCAGAGCTTGTGCAAAAAAAAAGGCCTGTCCCCTGCCAGAATGCTGCTAAGGAACCCTTGCTTTCTGTGCGGAAGGAAGGGGTCTCTATGCAGAGGCCTGGCACGCCCCCCTGCTGAGCTGAGCCAATAGCTCTGCAATTAGTGAAGCTCATGCCTCCCACTGATTGGAGAGCTTTAGCTCTGACTGTGTAGGGGGTGTGTCTGACCTCTGCAGGGTGACCACTGCTTCCACTTAGAAAGCAAGATCCCTTCTCTGCTGGTAGGGCACATTGTTTTCTACTTGGGGTTAGGCTGCTTTTTAAAGAAAATGAGTTGTAAGGCTTTACACATCTTTTAGTTTTGATGCACCTATTCGTTGATTTACAGTCAAAGAGTAGAAACCTCAATGTGTTAAATGATGTTACTGTTTTAGTATGGGACGTATCCAAGGCTGACTGTGCTTGAATATGAGGCTGTATCCTGGAACTGACTGATATGTTCTCTGCACAACTCTGCACAATTTAAATGAGGAGAGATGCTGAGTGGTCATCAGCTCCTGCTGAAACATCGCAAAATGAACCCTTTAACCAATATGCAACCCCTAAGAAACACAACAGCCATACAACCAGATATAATTCATACTGCTCAACTTTTTGGATATTTTTGACAGTTGGTGGCACCCGGTTTTTTCACCAGCTTGGACAGAGCACAGTCTGGCGTACATTGGTATGTGACTTTCACAAAACATCTTCTGGCTTTGAGCAGTTGGCTGCGCTTTTCAGTAGAAAGCCAAAAACTGGCAAATACTCTGAGGACGTCAAAAGAGCAGTCAGAGCAGGCTCCGTGTGCATTGTTGTGACTGCACAAATCAAAATAAGATTTGTTTACCGGACAGAGCCGAGCTCGGGCAGGCGTGGTAAATAGTTCCCGTGGGCTTGAAACTTTATTTGCAATAGTTTTACTTTACAATGCATGTGGCCTCCAGATATGCGTTGTCCCTTTGGCGTCCAGTCCTAAAAAAATGTTCCCGACATAAATAGACATTTAATCGTTGTGTTTTCTTTGAGTAAGACTAACAAGTTTAAAACTTTACATACGGTGAGAAATATGAAGACCAAGTCGTACCAATGCCAAGAACATCCCTCACGTTCAGCTAGTCTGGAGCTTCTCTTTCATAAATTCCATTGTAGATAGTCATGTAATAAAGCGTTCAAGATCTCAGTTGGGTTTATGAAGGTCCACTGCGGAATAGAAGATCTTAATTGGGTTTATGAAGGTCCACCATGGAATAGAAGATCTCAGTTTGGTTTCTGAAGGTCCACCATGGAATCCAAGATCTCAATTGGGTTTATGAATGTCCACCATGGAATAGAAGATCTCAATTGGGTTCATGAAGGTCCACTACGGAATAGAAGATCTCAATTGGGTTTATGAATGCCCACCATGGAATAGAAGATCTCAATTGGGTTCATGAAGGTCCACCATGGAATAGAAGATCTCAATTGGGTTTATGAATGTCCACCATGGAATAGAAGATCTCAATTGGGTTCATGAAGGTCCACCATGGAATAGAAGATCTCAATTGGGTTTATGAATGTCCACCATGGAATAGAAGATCTCAATTGGGTTCATGAAGGTCCACTACGCAATAGAAGATCTCAATTGGGTTTATGAATGTCCACCATGGAATAGAAGATCTCAATTGGGTTCATGAAGGTCCACTACGGAATAGAAGATCTCAGTTTGGTTTATGAAGGTCCACCATGGAATAGAAGATCTTACCGCATCACTTTTAACCGAGATATCCCTTATTTCTCTCCAGACATTAATGAAGAACCTTCTTCACTTCCGCTTAGGCAACAGAAACCTCAATTATCGAGCGATCAAGCACTGAAATCCGGTTCGTGTCATTGATCGCGACTCAAGAAGGAGTTTGGGATGTCCCATCTGGTCATTCAAACTCGGACCTTCAAGTTCAACTAAACACAAGTCATCTCTCCTTCTTTGCATCCTTTTGAAAAGAAGTTCTTAGTCATTTGTTTCCTTAAAGGTCAAATCGTGGTACAGTGGCTTGTCATGAATTGTATTCCTAAGAAAAAATAATGGTCTATGGCTTTTGCTTGCTTGAATGTATTAGATATCTAACGGCGGACTGATGTGGCGTTCGCGGTGGTGCATCTGGAAGAGAGAGAAAAAAAGATTGTCATTGTGAATCAGGATAGCTGGGTAGGAAAAGGGGGTTGGGTGGGAGGGGGTGTAATGCTGCAGCTGAACCCCAGAATAAATAAATATTGCCTAAATACAAGAGCCATGTGTATTCTTCCTGGAATCTTGGTGAGCTTTGTGTATTTCTCCAGATGTGTGCGGTAATCCAGTGTGAGACTTGGAGCTTCCTGTAATAAAGACCGCTCACTGCTACTCTCTCTCCTTGTGCAGGGTGACTGGTCTTTATTGCAGGACAGGGTGGAGACCAGACCGTCCACTGCTGCTCTCTCTCCTTGTGCAGGGTGACTGGTCTTGTATCTGCCCCTTCCCGTAGTTACCTGTAGTGGTTTCCTGTAGTGGGTGGGGCCTGCTGGGTCCCTCCCACAACTCAACAGGCTATGTGCAGCACAGTGATGATATCACTGCCACTTTTATTTTGTAATATCTGGGTATGTAAAGCCATTTGATGGTTTTACATCCTTTGTGGCTATTAAGGAATGTATCTGAAAAAGTTTTTGTGTCCGGAATTCAGCTTTTTAAAAAAAAATCACACAGCGGATATGTTTATAGGCACCGAGTACACTAGTACAGGTTCTCGCTTACTTAGAAGTGCTTGGAGTTGCTCCGACATAAGCTGTGGCGGGCCACCTGCAAATGAACACAGACAGGTAAAATGCAGCCATGACCATTTTAACAGGGAAATTCAATCTAAGATATAACATTGATCTACGGGTCATTTCTGGTGCAGTTTTTACTTGCATTCAATTTAAGCCCTGAGGGGGGGGGCTTGTGTTTGCCCCTGGAAGGCGTTGGATGTTTGCTCAACACGATTATTAAAATTTTTATGGACTCTAACATCCATTTTGGTCCGGTGCTCTTCTGTTTTCTGCCCCTGAGTTGCTCCTAGCACCTTCTTTTGTAGACTGTGTATCTTTGAGCTGCCAGCCATAAGCTAAGGACAAATCAAGTTGGATCTTTCATAGAGGGTAGCAAGAGACAGCTTCCAGCACCTCTGAAATATTTGCATGATTTTATGTCCTGGGCTGACAACGCATTGCCTCTGCTGCACCAACATTGCAAAATAAATGGCGTCAGCCTTGCCCGGTTATTTTTTGCTAGACTATGGAATACTGCTATTGTGACAGTGAGGTTCATGCGAGGCGCTGCAGCTGTCAATCAAGCAGGGCTGGGTGGAGGCTGTGTCAGTGGGTCTGACTAGGGGACTACAGACATACCGTTCTATAGTTCCGATTAGGAAACAGACCGTTGCAAACATGGCAACGTGCTTGACGGGTCAGAACGTGGAAGTAAGCGAAGGGGACTGGCAGGATCACTCGGTATTTACTAGACATGTGCCATTCGTTTCGTTACCAATCGAAATTCGTACGAATTTTCCTGAAATTCGTAAATTTGGAAGCATCCGAAATCCGAATTGCAGTTTCCGAATTAAATACGAAATTCGGTTAACGAATTTCGGATCCGAATTTCTTTGAAACAGGAACTAATATTACCCCTGTAAATGAGGTTGAACAACATGACAAGATTTTTTTTTAAAATCCGAAATACGGATCCGCTGCTGCTGAGGGTTGCATTTACAATACACAGGCAGGAAATACGAAATTCCGTTGACGGAATTTCGTTCCGTTACGAACATTCGTCATATTGAAGTTAAAAAGCAAAGTACATTTATATTGGAGTTGATGGTAGTTTTTTTTAATCCGAAATACGAAATTCGGATCCGGAATCCGTTAACTGAATTCGTATTTCGGATAAAAAAACAACTACCACATCGACTCCAATATTAACAAAGGTATTTTTGCTTTTTAACTTCATCATAACGAATGTTCGTACAGTTACGAAAATGTGCCGAAACTAACGAAAATTCATATTTCGTACGAATCCGAATTGAGTTTCGGACACGAAATACGAAATACGAAATAATGGATATTCCGAAACGGAACGAATTGTTTGACGGCGCACAAGTCTAGTATTTACTGCTAAATATGCAAAAGAAGCAACATGTACATCAGAGGTAGGCAACCTCGGCATTCCAGCTGAGGTGCAACTACAAGTCCCATGAGGCATTGCAAGACTGACAGGCATGACATCCCAGAGGTAGATTTATTATGGGAATTGTAGTTTTAACACAGCTGGAGGGTCAGAGTTTGCTTACCCATGTTTATGTAAAAAGGAATGCATTACTGATAGAATGTCAGCAGTAAGGTTTCATACACTGACGTCTTTCACCATGGGTTGGATCTTCCATCCCAAGAGGGTCAAAGGAATTTAAAAAGGGAATCCGTGTCTGCTGAGGGCAACCATTGCTCTTCATGAGACATTCATGTAGTAATCAGCCTGCTCAGAGACTATCACCTCATGGACTTTAAGGAGGAAGAGGACGTCTGAGAAGATTTCCCCTTCCCCCCTCTCCTTTTTGTGTCTCTTGTCCTTCAATAAAGCATATTTTTCAATCAAAAAAAATTCATGTAGTTTGCGTATATAATTTGGTCATATTGGTGGGTTAGTGGACAGAATATTGTGCACAGAGCTCCGTCCTCCGTCCTCTCCACAGCGTTCAGTGAAATAGAAGGGTAACGTCTAGATTTACCTTCTCGGCAGTTGTGTCCTATAAATCCCCGCAGACAGATGCAGCCTCCGGTCAGAGAGTTACATTGTGAATTCCAGCCGCACTCACAGCTCAGGCTGCAGTTGGGTCCATAATAGTTCATTCTGCAGTCTACGGAAAGACAAGTAAAAAGCCTTAGATGGAAGCTGCAGTTTTTCTGACTCATGTACTAGCCCCCTGAATGTAACAGATTCACTGCTACTGTCCTCACTGCAACTGTATGAGAACAAGGACTCAGGAAATGACAACTTCCATCTGAAGCTTAGCAAGCACACACACAGATATACAGGCACAGACATGGGAAGCTGGCCATATACGTTGCAGCCTGTTTGTACAATATACTAAGTTTTGATATGACTGTACGGAAATCTAGTGTGAAAAGATCCAATATATGCTGAAAATATGGATGAGGTTGCATGAAATACTGTGTACTGGGTAAGTTCATTCTATTATTCCAATCAAAATTCTACAGTTTTAAGATTAAAATGTACAAAAACATTTATATAATAAGAGAGTATATTGTACAATCAAGAGTAAGTGTGTGTATGTATCTGTATAAAACTTTTCATTGATATTATATAATATATATAAAATGATTATATATTGTATATTATTATTATTATTATATTATATATTTTTACACACACAGCATACAGTATGTTAACTGCATATGTATTTGCAGTGGGGTTATGCTGCAGTATACAAATAAACAGCACATGTCACCTATGTCACAGGTTGATCCTGTCTTCCCCGGAGGACATACGCAGGCTCCGCTCCCTGGGTCACACGGTCCATTCCCTTCGCACTGGCAGAGCTTCTCGCAGTTTTCTCCAAATGTCCCCGTCTCACAAACTTGAGTCAGAGTTACAGAAAAGAAAAAAGCTAGGTAAATATAGTGTTTTCCTCCGGAAAGATATTTATTAGGTTTTAAGATAAATCTGCTCCCTAGGAGATGAATGATTTATGGATCAAAACAATGTATCCATTATTGATTGCCCACATTCAATATTATCTATCAGAGTAGAAGCACTTGCCACATTCATCTACAATATCTCCATCAGATTCTTTTGTTTAATCCTCCAGCTGGAACTTGGTCGGTGAGAGGTTCCCGCCAGGAATACTCGATGGTAATACGTTGCTTAATTATGGACAGCAAGTTTGCGGATCAGAAAGAGACCAGTAGCTTGTGTACATGGGAACCTGTACTGTCAGTTAACATAGTTGATTAACAGTTACAGGTTCACGATGAGTGATGTGCATCTAAAGAGAAACAATGTATCCACAGTGATTGGTAACACCTTCACCTTCGTAACACCTCCAAAATACGCCCCTTCCACACCAATGAAACCGCAAAATTACTCATCCACTCACTTGTTATATCTCGTCTTGACTATTGCAACTCCCTCCTCATTGGCCTACCTCTACACAGGCCCCTCCCCCCTTCAGTCTATCATGAAAGCAGTCTCTCCCATCCTATTGAACTCTCTACCCCAACCTGTCCGACTATCTCCCACTCTGACTTTAGGCTATCCCTTAAGACTCATCTCTTCAGGGAAGCCTATCTCACCTCAACCTAACCACTGAACTATCGCTTTCTCAAACAATTCATCCCCACACAGCTACCTCCTCATGTATCACTTCCCCCTCCCTTTTAGATAATATGCTCTCACGGGCAGGGCCCTCCTTACCATCTTGTCTTGAATTGTATTGTGATTGTAATCTCTTCCTTATATTGCAAAGCGCTGCGCAAACTGTTGGCACTATATAAATCCTGTATAATAATAATAATTGTGTACAGTCAGTGTTACCTGTCAAAGTAGAATTACTTATTATATCCATCCACAATATCTTCATCAGTTTCTTCTGTTCAATCCTCCAAATGGAGGTGCAGAGTATTGGACAGGGTATTCTGATGCACATATAGCTGAGGAATGTATCAAGTGCTTCTACTTTGACAGGTAACACTGACTGTTGGCAATCATTGCGGATACATTGTTTCAATTCTGATACACTTATCAAAAATCTTCTGGCACGTCAAGGAGTCTCAGATTTATTCTGGTATTAGACAATTTGTGATACTTGGCGGTGTCTTTTCTGAGACTGCAGCAGCTTCTGCTTTATAACAATCAAGTGTCCTTTTTGCTCTGCATCTGCTTCTATATAAAGTTTATACAGAATGGGTTAATTGTGAGTAAATTGTCATCAAGAAGACCGGTGTTGTTATCCAAGGAAGGCAATTTCTTTTGTGGAAAAATAAGCCCTTGCCAAGTTATTTTAGAAATAAAAGACTCTGGGAGGAATTCAATAAAGGCTTAGCGCCCCTTTTCTGGTGGTATGGACCTTTAAAGGTTTCTGCACCAAATTTTAAAAAAGCCCTGTCACCGGTTTTAGTAGCGTCACCGACACTTGCGACAGTTTCAGGTAGTTTCTAATACTGCCACCTTAAGAATCCCTCCCTATGGCTGCAACTGATTCAAAAAGGATTACAGATTGGGAAATTGGTGCAAATTAAGGCCAACTCCGTGCAAGCGTAGAGACATGTCAGTGCTCAGAGTGCAACATGTATGTGATTGGAAGCAGTCATAAATCTGACAGTTTCCTGCTTATGGTTTATTGGTTGCTAGGACACAGCCAACCACTTAGTAACCAATGATTCATCCTGGGCCATTGAGCTGCTGGCTGGGAGATTCCTCGGCTGGCAGCTGAATGTAAATGAAGGAGCCAGGGATGCTTCTGACACCATTACTCAAGAATGGCCATGGTCAGTGTGTTAAACAGGCCCCATACAAGCATTGGGACCTGCCTTGTCTTTGCATTGGGACTTTGTTGGGGAACCTCTTGCATTGCCCTGGCTGAGGGTTATTGGTTACCTATGTCCAATGTACCATTCCGATATTAATGCACCTCAACAATAACGGTTTGATTATGTGCCAGGCTGACCTCTCTCACATTCTTCACCATAGAAACCGGACGGGCACTGGCAGATGCCGGTTGCAGGGTCACATGATGCTCCATTTTCACACTGGCACCTTTCCTGGCAGTTGTCTCCATGAAAATCAGGTGGGCAAGCTGTAAAAATTAAATTGTGTTAGGCTTTTCAACATTGCAAGTGCCTATAACAAACTTCCCCAACACTCAGCTCTACCAGCCAGCCGAGGGGGAACCAGTTTCAAATGTTTCTCCATTTGCAATCTTTTTCAAATATATTAACAATAAAAAATCTTATGTTGTGTGAGAAAATAGTCAGACATATATGACTCCATTCATGTTCTAAGTAACTGATTCTGAGTGGCGTTCTGTTGCAAATGTCTTTGTTGGATGAAAGCGGTCTGCTTTGTTGCTGAAGGACGCAACTCTACCTGTGTAATAGAAAGAGACAGAAGACTATCTCCATCGTTATAAACTCCCCCGCACCCCTGTGTGTCAAACATTTCCTTCTGCTGAATCTACAATCTATATTGAGTCTTGGCATTGTTTGGCCTATCTGGGTGGCTCACCGTGTTGGCATTCATTTCCGTAGTAGCCCTTCGTACAGTGACAGGTGCCCGAGACTCTATCACATGTACCATTGTTAAGGCAGGAACACTCCATCTGACAGGAGGGGCCGTATTTCCCTGGGGGGCACTCTGAAACAGAAACAAATACAACCTTCAATGACATCTATGAAACGCGGCTCTGTAATCACAGGATACCATGTGTAAGTGAATAATGGATAATCTGCGCAATGTCAAAGTTGCAAAGTTCATCTGTGCAAAGTTGTAGAAACTTTACAACTATGGTAATCAGTAAAGTTTATGCCATGGGACCACTGCAATACTCGAACATTTCCCATGTTTTATCCCTTTAAATCTGAACACCAGCCTTCCCCTCAGTCTCGCACCAATGTACCAGCTCCTCTCATGGACTGAAACTGCGGACTTTGATTTCACTGCACACTGTGAACTTCTCATAGTGATAGTGCAAAATGTAATAGATTCCTCCATCCACACTAAACATGTATCTATTAGATTATCCATTAGATTTCGCTCATTCAGCCTAAAGACATTCCCGTCTAGCTTTGTGTTCCCAGCTCCTCCTGTTACATCCTTTATGATATAAAATAGCCATAAAAGAACCAACAGGGATGGTGGCACCCCTCATAATGGACACAGCAGCTGTGCAGACCTGAGAACTCAGCACAGGGGATGGTGTGAGCTCCTCGTAATGGGCACAATAGGTGTACAGACCCAGGAACTCACCACAAGGATGGTGGGGACCCCTCATAATGGGCACAGCAGTTGTAGAGACCTGGGAACTCAGAGCGGGGATGGTGGGAGCCCCTCATAATGGGCCCATCTGGTGTGCAGACCCAGGAACTCAGAGCAGGGCTAATGGGAGCCCCTCATACAGGGTCCATCTGGTGTGCAGACCCAGGAACTCAGAGCAGGGCTAATGGGAGCTCCTCATACTGGGCCCATCTGGTGTGCAGACCCAGGAACTAAGAGCAGGGAGCCCCATTGAGGGGCTCCCAATTGGGAACCCCTCAATGGGGCCCAGCAGGTGAGCAGATCCAAGGGTGCAGAAATCTCACTAACAGAGTCTCCAGTATATAGAAGAGACAGTGAAGGTGCTGGAGTGACAAACCCCCTGACCATCAGTTTTTTGATTGAAGTGACTATAACATACAGTAGGTGCACATGGGAGGCAGTTTACCTTCCTCGCAGGTGGGGCCCATCCACCCCAAGCCACAGCGGCATGATCCATTCACAGGGTCACACAGACCTCCATTCCTGCAGGAGCACAACTGCCGGCAGTCTCCACCAAAGTGATCCTTAGCACACTCTAAAACACAGAAATGTTTTGATCTCACTAGAAGTTCATAATTTATTTTTATTGCCGTTGAAACATATGTGCACAGAATACAACAGCATAACAACATGAGATATACACTGTACAGGTTTGTAGAACAACAAGTTTAAATATGAGATAAGGTATTTAAATGTGTATGACATCTAATGTATATTTTACACGGGCCTTATAGTATTCCATTTGTAGAGTACTGGGAGAATGATTGACACTGATTTATCCGGGGCAGTATGAGTTCTTCTGACAGGAGACCCATGCTGAGTTTCTATAATAATCTTCATTACCCATAGTTACCTGTCCAGTATTATCATGCATCATTGCCAGCATTTAAGTCCTGATGAAGGGGGATCTGTGAGCCCCAAATCATGTTTGGCTTTTTACCTTATAGAACATCTCATAAAAAAAAAAAAGCCATACTGGACTGAATTATTAAATGTGGTGCTCTCATTCTCCTAATGAGACGGGGACTCTTTTAGATACCCTTGTAGACCAAGAGCCAACTCCAAATTTCAGGAATCATACTACTTGTCCTCATCCACAGTATTCTATGATATACAAAAAGCAGCTGTGTGTCATAAAGTAGAGCAATGGTGATTAATGGTCAGAATAGTGTAATGATAAAATAAGAAGAAATTAAACATTAAACTAAACTCTGGAATGCACTAGTAGGCTTTGCAGTCAACATACACAGCATACATAAGAATACATTTCTGATAATGGCATCTATTGTTACCCATACAGGTCTCCGTAGTGTTCTCCTGCTAATAATGTATGTCAGTCATCCTGCGTCCTGACTCTCTATTCATCTAAATAATATGTGTAGAATTTCTGGATGCAAAAGTAAGCTGGCAGAGTAGAATGGTGCTACTTACTTATAATATAATTATAATTATTTTGCATGTGCCTCCATAGCCCCAGTCCATGTCCTTGTTTCTACTGGTCCACACTTGTCGTAACATCCTCCTGAAGAATCCATGTATGGCAAAACGCGTTGAGGAAATATCAATGTGCCAACTACCACTTCTGTGCTATTTCATCACGACATTGTGGGACTCAAACTGCATGTAAGTCATTGCGGAATCGGTACGCAAATATTGTTGCTTATATATACCATACGTACTTCATGGTTGACTTTGTGATGTTTTTAGCTACTATGTTTTAATTGTTATTAATAAAGTTTTTGTTTTAACTGAAGGCCTTGTTTGCATACTTTAAAAGCCCCCACCAGGCTTTATGCCTGTTTTGGTGTGTTTGTACTTTATAGTTATGGGTAGGGATGCGCCGATACCGATAGGACACGTACTCGCCCAAATGCTCCCAATGCCTGGCCCGATACCGGAACTTCCGGTATCAGGAAGCCGGGAGGTGAATCAATACACGCTGCCCGGCTTCCTGATTGGCCGTGAAGTCGGCTCCATGCTCCATTCGTCACCAGGGAGCATGGAGCTGGTTTCCCGGCCAATCAGGAAGTCTGGGGGTGGGTAACTATTAAAAAAGCCCGCTCCATGCTAATTCATCACCAATGGCTCACTTGTAATGACTCGCCTCCCAGCTTCCTGATTGGTCGGGAAGCTGGCCAATCAGGAAGTCTGGCGGCGAGTCATTTATCTGCCCCCCGGCATCCTGTTTGGCCAGAAAGCCAGCCCCATGCTTCCTCGTCACCAGCCTACTGTGGCAAACAACATACAAGTCCCAGCGTGCACCCCCAACCTCTTACCTTGGAGAACCTCTAGCCTCAAGTCAGAGGTCTGTTTGAGCGAATGTCACATCTCAGCCTCTCAGCCTAGAGACACACAAGCCTGAGCACAGGTGTACTTCTTCAAGGATATTCCTTCCTGCATAATCCCTGAGCGGGTTTCCTTTCACATAACACAATCATTCTTTATAAAATGCCAACATCAATTGCAGCACTTCACCTTCAAAGAACATAGAGTAACAGAGGAGCCCATCTGCAGAGCTTACAGGAAAGCACTACGTTAGTCCCCAGAAGCTCAGGGCATTATGTTGTGGGGTCAGATGGAGACAACAACAATGTAGCGATAAATACTCCACTGCTTCTCATGGTTTTACAGGATGCGATGGACTTTGAATGGCTCCTGAGGGTTATGGAAGGTAATATCCTTTTTTCTTTCCTAAATATAAAAGTATATGTGTAGGCAAAGTTTTTGTAGTTTTGGATAAAGTAGTACAGAAGGGTTAGGCTGTTTTTGTGCTGGCATGAAGTTATTGGAGAGTTCCCTCTACTTCCTGTCTGTAGACACAAAAGGAAGTGAGGGAAACCCATTCAGACAGTTGTCACCTGAACAGGCTTCTCCATTGGAAGATCTTTCTTTAGCCAACAAACTGTACATTTTGGATTTCCCATCAATTTCTGTGACAATGGTGTCCATGGCAAATGGAAAGGGCAAATCTCCCTAATGGGTCTAACTCTTCCTCACTATATCCAGGGTTGTAGCTCCCATGGGGCGAGTGAGGCACTCGCCTCAGGCGCAGCTGAAAGTGAGCACAGGGAGCCATGGTGAGCACAGGGCGCCATTAGCAACAGGGGCACCAGGTGGCCAACACAGCCACGGCTCGGCAGTGAGAAGAACAGCGGCACAGGCTCCAGCTTCTCCTCGGATCCCCGCTGCTCTCCCCCACCTGTATCTGCAGAGGACTCTGTGTCCTCAATCTCTTCTATTTCAAAAGGGAAATGTCAGGGGTCTGTTTAGATCCCCGATATTTCCCCCGAAGCCCCCCCCAAAAAGTTAAAAAAATCCTAATAATAAAAAATAAAACAAACACCCTCCCCACACACACACACACACACACTCATGCACACACATTAGTAGACATGGGCAAAGACTAAAAATTTGTTTTGGACGAAATGAACAGAAACTAAAAATTTTTTCATTAGTTTTTTCAAACAATACAAATTTTATGCTATTTTGGATTTGGCCACCAGCGCATTCTGCGCATGCACGCCTCAATCCTGGAGGTGGGGGCATGACATCACATATCGCACACGTCTGTTGGGGGGGTACAATTTTCTGTTCTTGCCTTGGGCGCAAAAGGAGCTAGCTACGGCTCTAAATGTTGGCTTTAGCTACACTTTAAAGGAGAACTATGGGGTTAGGGCTTTTCCCCATAGTTCTCCTTAGGGTAACGGGAGGACACAAACTAGCGTCCTCCCGTCACCCTAGGCTCAGTATACCGTGAGCTGTAGCTCGTGGTATACTAAGACGCCGCAGCTGAAGCGGATCACAACAATTATGTCTGGATCTGCCCAGCTGTGTGACTGACAGCTGGCTCTGCCTATCTAGAGGCAGAGCCAGCTGTACCCGCCCCCTCCCCCGTCCGTTCTGCCAGTCAGCGCTGGCGGATCGGAGCGGGGGAAATCCAGCCCCTCCCCTGTCACGGCAGAGAGCAGTGACAGGATCGAGAGGTGAGCGAACGCCGGTATGTGTTCACTCACCTCCCGATCTACTGAGCCGACCTGTGATAGTCTCATTGTCACAGGTCGGCTAGAACTATGAGGTGAGTGAAAAGCACTCTCCTCATAGTTCTCCTGTAACCACTTTGTTACCATTGTGTGCAGCTGTTGGTTTTCAGTCTTCAGTCTAATCCAGCACTCCGATGCGGAGATGTGATGACGTCAGGAATACACTAGCACAATGGAAGTTCTTAGGACCCCCCTTGTCGAGGTGAAATGATGAAGCATCATCAACAAAGGGCTCCTATACTTCCACACCATCCTTACAATAAAAAGCAGAGATATCACAAAGGCAACAGGAGCTGCAGGAACCTTAAATTTACAGCATGATCCCGACATGTGAACCGGTGTGCTCAATTCACCAAAACCAACCAGCTGCTATTTTTAATGATGCGTAACTAAGCTAAATGAATGACACCTTGGGGATCGTACAAAGCAGAAGTGTGCCCTGGGTGAGTTTTTGATCTATAAAAGGATTAATTAAAAATGTAGCTCTGATTATAAATCCCGCACAAACCTGAAGCAGACAGCCCAAAATAAAAGACCGCATGAACAATTACAAAATGCTGGAGAGAAAGGGCAACTGTTCATTGGCCCCCAGAAAATCAATGAAGGGCCCCTGGAGCTCTTTCCTGTATTTGGTCAAGAGGAATCCCGCTATTTTGTTAGTTTGAGTCCCAGTGAACCACAGGAAGTAATAGTATGTCAGGCTTACCGTGTTCACAGTGCAGACCAGTTCTTCCAGCAGCGCAGGAGCAGTCACCGGTCACATGATCACAGGCACCATTGGGACCGCAGCGACATGCATGAGCGCAGCCTTTCCCATATCGCCCGGCAGGACAAGCTGAAGAGGAACAAAAAAGTAATTTATAATGAAGCATTGCAAATGAGAAATAGCTTGTAGCCCAATCTTAGGGCATTGCCTGTAAAAGGGCCCACACTTATGGTATGCATGTTAAAATGTGTGTTTTATTGCATATTACTGCAGCACGTAAACCACATTATGTCACCACGCATTTTAAGTGGTCATATCAGTTTTTTGATTGGTTTAGGGCCATGCCAGCCCATTTCACAATCAATAGGCTGCCTTGAAGCACAATAACACATTGCATTACCGCAATGCATAATGTGAATGGGCCCTCTGAGGTTTAGGCCTGATTTGGATAATACCTTCCAAGAGATTTCATACTGAATGCACACAAAGAGCTAATTGAAGCCCAACCCCAGCCAAAAAGTTTCTTTATCTAGTTTTTGAGAAAGGTTAGCAGCTCTGTCACGTTTGCCAGTGATATAATTTCCCCTAATTTCTTACCCAGTTGTGACCAGAGGAAGGAAAAGAGCCCAGATCTCCTAGATGAGATGGAGTCTGACTCTTTACTGTCTTTACTGGTGGTGGGCTTTGATATTTTCCTGACTTTTATTACCAGTGGATAACCCCATCCTCCCCGGGAACCGAACCCTGAGTATTATCCTACTGACCGGTTCCACAATCTGCTCCCAGGTAACCCGATGGGCAGTGGCACGCTCCGGTGGTGGCATCGCAGTGACCGCCGTTCTTGCATTTGCATGGATGCTCACAGTTTCGCCCATAAAATCCACCGGAACATTCTAGAAAAAAGAAGAACATGACAAATCAAGAACAGTGAATGTACAGAGATGAAGAAATACTAGTAGTGCAAGCAGGCACGACCTATATAAGACAACTCTGCTCTGAATTCAGGAACAGTGCAGCGTCGTTGCCACACCATCATAGGAAGCTGCATTAGGTGGACTTCACTGGCAGGATCAACAGGTATTTGTGGGACTTTGCAGGGGGTCTAAGGGTAAACTGTAACTGCAAATATAGATGCAGGTGACTTTTTTTCCCAGCTCAGAGTGTTGGGTGGGATGTTTTAATGATTTAAATTTTTCTATTAAGACAGCAGTGGTCAACTCATTTACAATAGGGGGCCCCAAGTGCGGCCTCTGATATCGCCAAACGGCCGCACATAATATTTAGACAATGTTATGATATAGAAAGCTGTCAAAAAGTGCAAAGACTATATGCATGCTGCAATAGAGGGTCAAAGACTGCTGACACGCTACAGGAGATGGTCAGAGGCTATAGGCATACCACAGAAGATGGTCTGAGACTGTGGGCATACTAATGTAGATGGTCAGAGACTGAGGATATGCTACAGGAGATGGTAAGAGACAGGGTACATGCTACAAGAAATGGTCAGAGACTGGGGACACACTACAGAATATGGCCACAAACTGCAGGCATGCTACAGGAGATGGTCCTAGACTGCAGACATGCTATAGAATATAGCTTTAGACTGCAGCCATGCTACAGGAGATGGTCCTAGACTGCAGCAATGCGACATGGGGATGGTACTAGACTGCAGACATGCTGCAGGAGATGGTCCTAGACTGCAGACATGCTACAGGATATGTTCCTAGATTGCAGACATGCTACAGGAGATGGTCCTAGACTGCAGCCATGCTACAGGAGATGGTCCTAGATTGCAGACATGCTACAGGAGATGGTCCTAGATTGCAGACATGCTACAGGAGATGGTCCTAGACTGCGGATATGCAAAAGCAGATGGTCAGTTGGCATATTGAGCACCAGGGTACTAGAAGATGGAACCACTTGCTGTCAGTCACCTGACTAGGGTAGAGCCACACAGGATGTGTGTATTAGCTTGATCCTGGTACTAATATTTCTACATGTAGCAAAAGAGTGCAAAACAAATGGCTCCCCGAGGAGTAAGTAAGAAGTAACATCTCTGGTGTAGCTCCGTCCTTACCCCATCAACATGAAGAGTTACAGATACTCCACTTACTCAACTGACAGGTATGTCCATAGTACCCCGGGGCGCAGATACACTCCCCAGTCACCGGGTGGCAGTCTTGATGCTGGCCGGGACACTGACAGATCTTGGCGCAGTTCAAGCCGTAGGTACCAGGAATACAAGCTGAAGGAAAAAAGATCGTTATTCGAATTTAATTTTTAAATTGTTGAATAGTTTAACAATTGTGTCTGAGGATAAAGAGGACCTGTACTCTGCCCTTGCAAGACAAATAGATAATCTGCCCTCTGGAGTGTTGGTACTTACCTTTCGCCCTGTTCACCACCTTTCCCCTCCAAAAAATTTATAAAAATAGATTTATGGTATTGGAACGCAACTTGCACAGGGCTATGGACTGTCACCCCCGGGAGAACTATGGCCTGGTGATTGGCCAGAGCAAAGGAAAAGAGTTGCATGGTCCCCTATACCCAAAAGTACTGTCAGTGGTCAATGGAAGGTAAGTACATGCTACGGGGTGCATGAATGGACAAAGTACTGCTTCACACCAGCCAAAACCTTTTTTTAGTATTTGTTGGAGTGAAGAAGGATTAGAACCCGCTCTCCCCCTTCCCCCATTGGCTTTATCAATTCTATCCGGGGCTCTTTTAGGGAAGATTTTTGCTCAACTGCTTTGTACAGTTTTACCAGGCGGGAAGTGAAGGTAAATCTGCAATAGCGAACATGGATGATGGGTGGATGATGATTGATTGATGATGATGATGATGATTGATGGATGGATGATTATTATTATTATAAAATACAGAATTTATATAGCATCAAAAGTTTGCACAGCGCTCTACAATAAAAAGGGAGTCAGTACATAGCAGGATTCGTAACATCTTACAATGAATAACATGATGTACATCACAAGCCATGTTGTCTGACTTTTTGCAAAATTGCCAAATCTGACATTCCGAGATGTTTTGTTTCCTGAACTGACAACAATGTATCAGCAACTGTCATGTGTGCACCTGCTGAGTGACAGTAAGAGATATGCCAGTGAAGTTAAGGGGGAGGAAGATTCGTGGCTGTCCCTGAGTATGTGCAGACCTGACAGACCTGATGCAGCATCTGAAGATTCTGAACGAAGGCAGAGGCAGCATTTCCTGGGATATACGTAAAAAGGAATGAAATGATTTTGGGAAAGCATAGAAAGGAGTTTCTAGAAGACATGATTAGAAGCGGAGTGTTTGTGCACATTAGGGAGCCCTCCGTTCATTATGTGGACACTGGAGCTCGGTGTCGCCAAGGTTGGCAGCTGTGGCAATGCAGCGATCTCTTGCCCGTGGTCGGACTTACTTTGGTCACAACCGTTGCCGGTGAATCCCGGAGGACATCCACACTGGCCGGTGATGTGATTGCACGCGGTTCCCGGAGGGCAGTTGCAGAGCTGGGAGCAGTGATCGCCGTATGACCCGGGGAGGCAGGCTGAGCGAGAAGAAAAGAACTTCCATTAGACTGGATACATAAGCCCATGTGACAGGGTGACAATGCAGAAGCACAATTGGAAGACAGAGTGTTGTCACGCCAGGAAGTGCCTGAACAAGGACCTTTGTGGCAGGATCTCCAGGGATTCATTTATTGAAAGCTGCATTTTTACAAATATTTGAAATACCTTTTAAAACAACATGTTACAGTTTCTATGAGATTTAAGTGATCAGGTTTACAATGACTTTAAAAAATGTTTGTACAAGCTCATGACTGGTTCTCTTTAATTGAATGTTATTATTTCGAATGAAAAAAATGTCAGAAACGAATAACTCACGTTTATCGCAGTGTTTTCCTCTCCAGCCTCGGGGACAGTCACAAATGCCACTGACGTGGTGACAGGTCAGGCCGTGGTGGCAGTGGCATTTCTCCTGGCACTGTTCTCCGAAAGTTCCCTCTGGACAGGCTGCAACACAGAAGACACAGCGTTAAAAAAAAGTTTAAATAAAGACAAAAAGTTTAATAAAGAAATGATAAGAAAATATAGTGCCGAGGAGGCTAGCGAAGATATGAGTCAAACATACCACATTCTAAAATTGTTCCACACTAATATTGAATTTCACTCCTTGTATTTCGTAACCTAAAGCTCCCAAAATAAACTGAAATCCCAGACATATGATATACCCTCTAGATCAGGACAAATAAAATAATTTATTATGAATTACTTTCTGTAAGCTACACTAATTATGTACACATTGTTATTGCCAAAACTGTGAAAAATTTGTTTTTTTTCATTTATTTTTTTATAAAATAAAATAACAATTTATATATGGATATGTCACATCAAATTAAAGCCCATTTTGTCCTGTAAAAAACGGTATATAATATGTGTAATGAATGAGGAAGATAGAAATTATAGTTAAATACAAAATTGACAAAATTGCTCCCGTCCCCAGGAACTAAAAAAAAATTCTGAAGCTGTGTCACTAATGGAGTAAACCATTATCCCTGATGGGCTATTACTGGTTGCATGGCTCTTACCGAACACACAAATATTTACCAATATTGCGGTAAGCTCCCGAAAAGGAAGCAAATATAAGAAGTTAATTGTTAGGGATTACATGCACATCAAAAGGGCATCAAAAGTCCATACAGGCAGCAGAGAGAGTAAATCCAGCTGTGCATACAGTCTACAGTGATAAGAATCTAGCCTGGCCTGTCACTCACCATGCTGACACGATTCTCCCGCCCACCCGGCCAGGCAAACGCAGGTCCCCGTCTCTCGCTCGCAGACTCCTCCATTCTGACATGTGCAGTTCTGCAGGCAGCTGTCCCCGTATGTCCCCGGAGTGCACTCTGGAAGGAGAAGAGTATATGAGTTTGTGGAGGGGTGCCCCACACATCTGTATGACACATACATACTGTTCTGCATGGTGACTGCACTTTACCTTTCCTCTTCTCTACACACAAATTCAAGGTTCAATCCAATCACTAATGTGGGTCTGATCTCTGAACAGGACCTGTCAGCCATCCTGCCCTCAGAGTTCCCTTAGCAGCAGCTGTATAAACCTTTGCTGCATTTATTTTGTTGCTCTTGTTTGAGCTCTTTGATCGCCCATTGTTCTTGGATCCCAGAGAAAATGGTCACACCTCTATATGCTTAGGATTCCCCCTGTGAGCAAATGCCTAGGCTGTGATCCCCCCTGTGACCAAATGCCTAGGCCAAGGCTGTCATCCTGCGACCAAATGCCTAGGCCAAGCCTGTGATCCCCCCTGTGACCAAATGCCTAGGCCAAGTCTGTGATCCCCCCTGTGACCAAATGCCTAGGCCAAGTCTGTGATCCCCCCTGTGACCAAATGCCTAGGCCAAGCCTGTGATCCCCCCTGTGACCAAATGCCTAGGCCAAGTCTGTGATCCCCCCTGTGCCCAAATGCCGAGGCCAAGGCTGTGATCCCCCCTGTGACCAAATGCTTAGGCCAAGCCTGTGATCCCCCCTGTGACCAAATGCCTAGGCCAAGTCTGTGATCCCCCCTGTGCCCAAATGCCTACGCCAAGTCTGTGATCCACCTCTGTGACCAAATGCCAAGTCCAAGGCTGTGATCCCCCCTGTGACCAAATGCCGAGGCCAAGTCTGTGATCCCCCCTGTGCCCAAATGCCGAGGCCAAGGCTGTGATCCCCCCTGTGCCCAAATGCCTACGCCAAGTCTGTGATCCACCTCTGTGACCAAATGCCAAGTCCAAGGCTGTGATCCCCCCTGTGACCAAATGCCGAGGCCAAGGCTGTGATCCACCCTGCGCCGCACAAATAATGTAAATAGTTCAATGACTCACCTTGTTCACAAGCCAATCCCGTCCAGCCTTTGGGACAAGCGCAGTGTCCTGTGACGTGGTCGCATGTTCCGCCATTCCTGCAGATGCATTGCTGAAGGCAGTTCTCTCCATAAAAACCATCTGGGCAGGCTGGAAAATGAAAGCCGGTGAATTGGAAGGCAGTTACAGGAAACCTGGACTGAGAAACATATATGCAGGCTGCCACTGCTGTCCTCAACTTGGCTTCCCTGGGTGTCAAGCTGATCCAATGGCTTCAGTACGTTGAGACCCCGACCCAAAAATAGGATGCAGATCAGAAATTCCAGCTTTACTGCCACTTTCCTGATCTTCATGCTTGTTCCTGGACGGTGACTGAGGCGCAACTGAAGTCAGGACAGTCAGGATGCTATTATCTCCAGAGAGAGCTCAGCCTCCATTTTCCTTTTATTATAGGTTTACTTTAAATTCATTGTTTAGCAGTTTTCTATGCAATGTCTTTATTTATTGTGGTCAGGTGTGGTCAAAAAAGGTTGAAAAAAGAATATCTTTTACAGATAAATATGAAATATTGCAACATTGTGATGTTCTCCTTTTAGTCCAGAAGGTGCCGCTCTGCTTTTCTTTTCACATTTACAATTGAACCTTTGTTATTACACTACTGCCTGTTGTTAGCAGGTCCCAAGTCACCATAGCAGTGACTCTTCCCTTATCAGACGGCTTATCAGTAGGTCAATCAGACAAAGGCAGCTGTCTCGTCAGCTAAGACACAGTGCCCTGGGAATCCTTTGTCATGCATTAAATGTTCATTCTTTGGACCAACTATTCAAGAAAAAAAAAAAATAACTCAAACCATTGCAGTTTTCTTAGAACATCAGCAAAGCCTGGATTTCATGCATGAAAAGTATATAGGAAATGGCCGGTCTGTTTTATTTTCTGAGCCTACCTACAGGAAATTATTGGTTGCTTTAGCAATAGATACAGTTCCATGCACAGCACCCACTGAGGGGCAGGCCTATCATTGGAGGCATCCATAACATTTGCCCTCTTGAAAGCCTTACCTTCCTGGCAGAGTGCTCCAGTCCACCCCGCGGCACAGATACACTCCCCACTGACATGGTCACATCGGGCACCATTAAAACACTGGCACTCCTCTTTGCAATCAGTTCCATATCTGTCCTCTGGGCACTCTACAAGACATAGACAGCTGTGTAAAGAATATGCATGAGCTGGAAAGTGTGCACACAATACAAAGATATCTTCAGATGGTATGAGGTGTGCGGTTACATTGTTCTACCAAATCCTCTGAGATGGTCAGTGAACTTGTTAGGTGGTCGGTGAAAATAGCATATACCCCCCCCCCCCCCAACCCCCACCCTCATCATCTTGCTCAATGGAAAGCATAAATGGAAAAGGAAGTATTGTTCTTTTGCTGCGGAAACCAGTGTGCTGGACTGTGCACCACTGCAGTCACATGACCCATGCCAAAGCATTAGTCACGTGATCTTTTCTAAAGGGGAGGAGTACTTTAATTCTACTGTTTCTACTTGTCTAATCCCCCCCAGCCGCCATTATACAAAACAAACAAATGTACTTACTTTGGCTGCAGGTAGAACCAATCCAGCCTTGTAGACAGATGCAGGTCCCAGTAACGTGGTCACAGCTACCACCATTGGCACACTTGCAGCTGTTGGTGCAATCCGTGCCGTAGAATCCCTCTGGACAGGCTGTAGAAATGCAGCAATGAAATTTGGATTATCGCCCAGCTTTGTTTTATCACTTTCCTTTCCCAATTTTACAATTCTTCACTTTGCTGTATTCTTTGGGCTCCACACACTTTAATCCAAGGTAACTCAATGAAATGGGTGACACCACTGAATCTCCTACTGCCTTGATTTTGAGGTCACATGTATACAAAGTATAAAATAAAATACTTACAGAGCTCACAATAGGCCCCTCTCCAGCCCGGTGCACAGGTACAGACTCCGCTGACATGGTCGCATTGCGCCCCGTTGTCACACTGGCACTGGTGCCGGCAGTCCGACCCGTACCAGCCAGCAGGACACTCTATCGGGAGAATTTTAAAAAAGCAGGTTAGCTCCTATGCTATTCAGTTCCCTTTATAATATACTTCTGACACTGAAAATAGATCAAATTGTCCTTACTGTCGTTCTGCCCATGCAGGGTTGAAGTTAGAGCTTTCTTTTCAAGAAATAAGGAATGGAAGAGGAAGAACAGATGTGGGGTGCCAGAGGGCACCATGCTGGGTATAGTGAGTGAAAAACAACAGTGCAATGTCCCTTGTAGACACACAGTGAACTCACTCTGATCGCAGTGTCTCCCGGTGTAGCCCGGTTCACAGATACAGTCTCCCGTCACCGAGTTACAGCCCCAGTAGCTGTTGCTGCAGTTACAGATGTTGAGACAATCCGCTCCCCAGTGTCCGCTGTCACAAGCTGAAACAGAAAACAAAATGGATGGCCAACTTGGGTACAAATGCAGGTATGGTCATTGGTATTATCACCGCAGTTATATTTGAACTGGGGAGGCTTAACCCCACAAACACCTAACCCCCTAACTCTAACATTAACCTAACCCCATCTTGATTTATATCCTATACCCTCACATTAACAGAGCATTAAAAAATCATAGCTGTCATGCCATTGGCTTTGCCCAATAGTGATGACCCTGGAACTCGGCAGGCACCATCTGATAGGAAGACAATCAGACCACAGCTCCAGGAGCCCCTAGCAACCTCTAAAAGATCCCTTGTTGAGAATGGTTGGCTAAGTGTAATCATAGATTAGTGCACATTGTGGTGGTATATATTATACAGTGGTGGAAGGTCATCTATGACCATGATGTGATTGGCTGGCCACATACCTCTCCGACAGTTATGGCCGGTCCATCCAGGCGGGCAAGCGCACCTTCCGCTCACAGGGTCACACTGTCCGTCATCTTGACAAGAACACCTCGACTGGCATCCTTGACCAAACCATCCAGAAGGACATTCTGTAATAAATAAGGACAGACATCTTTGTTTTCCCTCACTCAACAGTCCTCGATGTGTGTAAATTCAAAGACCATACGTCCTTCAGCCAAGGAGGCAAAAGTGGAACTAAATTGGTATGACGAGGCTAGGGAACAAAAACACCAACTGGATTAACAGGATTCTAGAGAGGAACTGCAGTAAATTATGTAATGTAGTGTGCAACCCGTACAACCCAGATGACTTCAGTTGGCTTATGTAAGACTGGTCCTTGACACCATGCATGACACTGCACCTTTAAAGTGTATGTATAGCCATAACTTGTATTTTTACTTGTGGATAGCAGTTGGCCCTTTCACTCGGGTGCCATCCATTTCAGCAGAGGATCCTAGAGGTTTCCCTTGCTGAGTTAAATCAGAACGGAGATGAATGTCTCCCATATATGAATTCAGCCTCTTTGCCCGAAGTTCAGCCATAACAAACCATCAGAGAGCGATTGTGTGATTTTTTTCTTTTTAAGCTGACATAGTTGAGCGCCGGGGATACTCACTATCCGCACAATGGCTGCCGCTATAGCCTGGCGTACAGACGCACTCCCCCGTGGCTGGGTTACAGCTGCCGCCGTTCACGCAGTGGGGGCAGATCTCCCGGCAGCGGAGCCCCCAGAGTCCTGCTGGGCAATCTGTAACAGACGCACAAGAATGGCAATTATTTACAGCTCAGACCACAACAACGTTCGTTAATTCCTTGCAGGCTGGAGGCCGCGGCTTGTAAATTCCCAACGCCGCCCAACGCAAAAATTCCGATGACATCAATTGCTGGGATTTCTGTTGACTGGTTAGAAGATGTAAACACAATTTTTTTCTACCCTTTCATTTTAAATCTGGAATTGAAGTGTGGACCATTCCAAGGACTTTGTACCCCTCATTATTATTAAAGCTAAAGTGTAATCTGCTTATATTTTACCTTCCCTGGTCCCTCCCTCCCCATCCCATCAACATGCTAATGACATTTCCTTTCCAAACCTCTCTGTTTTCCATATATATATATATATATATAATCTTAGACCCATAGATGTATGAGCAGTAGTGGATAGCGGCAGTCAGTGGCTTCACAAGGGGGGTGCGGCCCGCACATGGGTGACACCATTGCAGGGGTGACACCAAAATGACTGATAGTCATTTTGGTGTCACCCCCTCTAAAAAGTCATGGACTGAGAGCCTAACAGTGTCAGGAAAGAGAAGGGGACCCGGTGGAATATCTCATTCCGCCGGGTGAACGTCCCCTCCTGCTCTGCCGGCATCCATCAGCAAGATGGCCACCAGCAGGCGTCAATCAGATGGCGCACACACGATAACGACACAGCGGGGCATCACCCGGTCTCCAGACTGGGTGACACCCGGCCTTGGAACGCACCTGGCAGGAGTTAAATAGGATCTGAACTCTGGAGGCTGTGCCCAAAATATTTAAAACAGAGGGCAAAGGACTAGTCACCAGTAGGGATGTGCATGGCCTTGGTGCGAACCAAGTTGGCCCAAACCCGCACAAAATTGTCAGTGCTACACCCCCCTCCCGGTCCTATCAGTTGCAGCCAGGGCATTCCCTGCCCCTTTGTTACATGTAGCTGCAGTGAATGCCCTGGCCGCAACTGACTGGGCCAGGATGGATTATGTGTCACTGACAATTCTGTGGGGGCTTGGGCAAACTCACAAGCCTACGCACATCACTAGTCACCAGTATTCCCTATGGTCTCCCTGCAGCTGATCTTTTCTCCATTATAAACCTACCATGCCTTGTTCTGCACTGTGGAGGCAGCCATCTTGGTAGAGGCAGGGCTTTGCCTCCTCATGTCAGAGACTCCAGCAAAGAGAACAGTGAGACGTACAGTCGTGACACCATCAAATCCCACTGCAAATCTCATGAGACCAGCAGAGTCAGCAGTGCCTTAGATCTAACAATGCTGATATACAACTATGAGGCTCTAGGCACAGGAGTGCCCAGACGCACTCACCTGCCAGGAACGGCACTGCTATTTTCAGCAGACATTACAGACAAAAGATACATTTTTAGGGTACTGCTTGGACATAGTTGACATTTCTAAATGTTTTCTATGACACCAAATCTTCATCTGAACTCTGAGATCGGGTGTACTTTAATGAAAACATGTTGCTTTACCCTTCATGGGCAAACCACAGATTTACTTTAAGGCATCCCACTTAGGAATAAATGTTTTACTTGCCATGCCGGTTCATGGTTTTATTTACCTTCTGAACAATCTGACCCAGCTTTGCCAGGTGAGCATAGGCACGTGCCATCGATATGGTTGCATGGAGCTCCACCACACGGACAACTCTGCAGGCACTTAAGTCCGTATTTTCCCGCCGGGCACTCTGTATATGAAAAAAATACATTTCCAAAAAAAGTTATCTGTGACAAAACACACAGGGAGCACAATGGATACTTCAAGAGCCTTCATAAGAGGGAATAGGCGCCATTTGCAGGAGTTTATTATTACACAGCCCTGACTGACTATATCCCATTTTTATGGTATAAAGTAGGAATGCACTGATACCGATATTAGTATCGGTATGGGTGCCCACACCGAGTATTTGGGTGAGTTCTCACACTCGCCCAAATGCTCCGATACTTACCTCTGATAACCTTGTGTAAGGGGGAAATCTCCCTCTGATCGGCAGTGACGTGGGAGCATGGAGCCGGATTCCTTTCCATTTAGGAAGCCGGCTTCAGTTTCTGCAAGGCAGCCTGCCTAGGAACAAGTGAAGCTGGCTTCCTAGCCAATCAGGAAGCCGGGAGGTGGGTCATGACATGCTGCCCGGCTTCCTGACTGGCTAGGAAGCCATCTTCACTTGTTCCTAGGCAGCCTGGCATCCTAACCAATCCGGAAGCTATGGTGGCACGTCATTAATTGGCGTCCCAGCTTCCTGATTGTTCAGGAAGCCACACTGCCTAGCAACAAGTGAAGCTAGGTTCCTAGTCATTCAAAGAAGCCAGGAGACGGGTCATGACGTTCTGCCTGGCTTCCTGATTGGCTAGGAAGCCGGCTTCACTTGTTGCTGGGCAGCCTGGTTTACTGACCAATCAGGGTCAGAAAGCTGGGCAGCCTGGGCAAGTGAAGCCGGTATTCCTGCGCTAGAACACCGGCTTCCCAGGCAATCAGGAAGCCGGGCGACAGGTCATGATCCGCCTCCCAACTTCCTGATAATTGGGATACACGGCATCGGTACTCGGTAGGCACCAAAAGCAAATAAACAGCCTAGAAAACCCTAAGTGGGTGTATTGATAACATAATTTGCATAGCTTTTCTTCTCCAGCGAAAATCCATTCTGCACGCCTTCACCAGCTGTTGTGATAATGGGGCAAAAACAAATGTTATTAGTGTTATTTCTCTTTAGGTTGAATGTTCTTCAATAGGTTCATTCATGAAGAACCGAGTGAATGAGGACCATATCACATTACAGCCTCTAGATGGAGCTGAGGACCAAAGGAAATAAATACATTATTGTAAAGAGATACAATTCAATTGCTGTCACTGGTTACTCTTATATGCTCATTCCCTCCAGCGGTCTCTACAATTGTAACATTCTATGTCAAAAGCAACTACTCAATATGTACGTATTTCCTGTGATCCTCAACTCCATCAAGTGCTCATAATTTGGCATTGTCCACATCCACTTTGTTCTTTATGAATGAATCTATTGAACATTTGACCAGAAGGAAAATGACGCCAAGAACATTTTTAAAAACTTTTTTTTACCCCATGATAGGTCACAGGTAATGCTGCATACTGTATGAGTCAGGAGGAGAGAGAGGGTGTCAGTGCTGTTACCTTGGTCACAGGTGTCCCCCTGGTATCCTTGTGGACACGGCCTCAGACACTTCCCATTCGTGTGGTCGCAGGGCACTCCAGATGGGCACTCGCATTTACTCTTGCAGCCGACGCCATAAAATCCTGCGTCACATTCTGTTACCAGAAAGACACAAATAGAAATGTAATTTACCGTCACTGATCTTTCTAAGGATCTTATATAGTATCTGTTGGAAATTCCAACAGATACTCTGATGCAAGACGCAAGTTTTATTCATTTTGTAAATAGTTTTTGTTTCCTGCTTTTTGTCCTTAAAGTGTATTTCCACTTTCACAGCCCAATATATAATACCTACTTTATAATTGTTACATGTTCCCATTTGCATTGCATTATTTTAAAGCTGCACTGCGGGGAAAAAATATATATTTTAGATACTGCGTTATGTATATAATATATATATATATTTTAATATTTTTTTATATATATTTTCTAGGTATGTAATATATACATAGGAAAAAAATAAAAAATAAATATATATATAGCATCGGGGTAGCAATGGCCATAGCAGTCCACTCGGCTGCTATGGGGCCTGAGGTAGGAAGGGGGCCCCATTAGGGAAAACTGAACTGTGAACTTTCCAATATACAAGGTGACCTCAGAATCATGACAGTCACAGATTCTGTGACTATCTGATTGAAACAGGCTCTGTTCAGTGTGATGCATTCGCTTATCTATCTCAGCAGTAAAGATTTATTGCCCTCTGAACTTCTACTATGGACTGAATCGGACCCTGTATGCCTAATGCAGTCACAAATCCCAGAGTGTGTCCTCTGCTAAAACCTTATAGAATGGCTTAGGTTTTGCAGCTCTACAAAAAAGAGGTTTTAGAATTTGTATTGGAGTTATAGAGTAATTGTGTGCAAGGGAATCGTTTTCTCATTATATAAAATATAATTATTGTTGCTATGACTTTAACTTTAATCCAAGGCACTGCTCGCTAGTAGTGTACTGACTATGCTGACAGCATTCCTGCTGTTTGCCTTTCATTCAGGTATACTATTTATAACCAGTTTACAGGGTCCTTGCACCCGGTGAATATCTGCAGATTTGCTTTGAGCAAATAATACCAAAAACAAATGTTCTTAATCAATTTTTCCCCCAGTTCGAATGTAGTGTGTTGTACTAATGCATTATGGTCACTAGATGGAGCTGAGGAGCATATTTAATAAGTATCGATTTCATATGCTGCTCAGTGACATCTAGTGGCCAAATTCTAATATTACAACACGCTACATTTAAAGCGGGACAAAATATATATTTTTCCAACATCAACATTTTGCTGATGCTCATTGTTTGATGAGACACCATGATTTGTAGTTACAGCCCTGGCCAAAAAGATTTGTAATTCTGTCCATCCTGTCCTGAGATTTATACAAACCTAGCCAGCTAGCAGAGCCAGGCCACAATCTGTTGAAGACATCTCTCTTGTGGATGTTAAACTTACCCGTTTGGCATGATGTCCCAAAGTAGCCGGGTTTACAGGTGCACGTGCCGTCCTTTTTGCTGCACTCCAGGGTGTTGCTCTGAACACAGGTGCATTCTTTGGAGCAGCCCGACCCAAATGTCCATTTTGGACAAGCTGTAGTACAGAGAAACAAAAAAGTGAATGTAAATGGGAGCCGCGTTCCAGGAACTGTAACATGGCAAATAGTTTGCAGATATTTAAAGGGTCACTCCAGTCAGTTCTGTCTCCAGTCAGTTGTAAACACTACTGCCCAGCAGTCATATCTTTATTTTTTTCTGTGTAGTTATCCTTTGGATCTATCCGTGCCCTCAAGGCCATCTAACTGCTTTATCATGAAGTATGCAGCCACAACTACTTCCTCCGAGAGCCTCAACTCCTCCTCCTCCTGATGCATACCTGAACTGTGCATGAACTCTAGCTCCTCCCCATCTATGAAAGGGAGTTATACAGCGCTGGAACTGCTAAAGACTAGAGTATTGCTCTGAATACATTTCTGAATACATTTCTGCCTGACTTGAAATTTCAGTTGGTGTGCTGTACGTGATGCAGACGTATCAATTGATTAATATAATTGCGCAACATTTCCAAGGATCTATCAATAGGAAACCTTTATGATTTCCCAATGTTTCACTGATGTAAAACAGTATTACCAGCCTTCCTGGGCTCTGTACAGAGAAGCACAAGTGCTTAAAGACTTACCTGGAGAAAATGGAGCTGCAAGCTCCCTGCAGTGCTGCTCAGATCCCTAAAAAGCTTGGACGTTTGGTCACAGGAGTTCTGTTTGAATCGGAGTTCAGAACTTCAAATTAACTGATCCTTCTATTTACTAGAGATCATGTGACCATACCCCCTAGACATTTGGTCACATGATAACACTGAAGGGAGCCCAGATCAGCATGTTCTCCAGAAAAGTTAAGAGTTTCAGCACTTGTATTGCCTTTAATTAACCGGCCTACCAAGACCGTTACCATTTAACACTTTATATTACTGCGAAACCCAACCCGACAAGAAGACTATGGTCTCACCTAAATGACAGTATCGTCCGTAGAGGCCGGCCTCGCACAGACAAGCCCCGTGAACCTTGTGACAGCGACCCTTGTTGGCACAGTTGCACTTCTTCTTACAGCTCTTACCATAATAACCTTTTGGACAACCTAAAAAAAAAGAAAAGAGTCCAAACGAAAATTATGTATTATTCGATAAATTGACAAGCTGGCCAGCAGCGTGTTGACTAGATGCATTTGCTTTGGGGCCTGAGGTGCAGGAGGGGCCCACTATCATATCCCTGCACATGGTCTCTCCCTAGGCCAATCTTCATCTATTGATAAGAAGATCTTTCTAAAACCTTTACAAAGTCATCCACATTTTTTATTTAAAGGTGGAAGTTGACCCTAAATGGAGTTTGGGTTGGATCGAGCTGAGCTGAGTTGAGTTGGCTTGGGTTGAGTTGGCTTAAGATGGGTTGAGTTGGGCTGGGCTAAGATGGGTTGGGTTGAGTTGGGCTGGACTAAGATGGGTTGAGATGGGTTATGTTGAGATGGGTTGAGTTGAGTTGGCTTGGGTTGAGATGGGTTGGATTAAGATGGGTTGGATTAACATGGGTTGGGCTGGGCTGAGATGAGTTGAGTTGATAATTCTAATATTACAACACGCTACATTTAAAGCGGGACAAAATATATATTTTTCCAACATCAACATTTTGCTGATGCTCATTGTTTGATGAGACACCATGATTTGTAGTTACAGCCCTGGCCAAAAAGATTTGTAATTCTGTCCATCCTGTCCTGAGATTTATACAAACCTAGCCAGCTAGCAGAGCCAGGCCACAATCTGTTGAAGACATCTCTCTTGTGGATGTTAAACTTACCCGTTTGGCATGATGTCCCAAAGTAGCCGGGTTTACAGGTGCACGTGCCGTCCTTTTTGCTGCACTCCAGGGTGTTGCTCTGAACACAGGTGCATTCTTTGGAGCAGCCCGACCCAAATGTCCATTTTGGACAAGCTGTAGTACAGAGAAACAAAAAAGTGAATGTAAATGGGAGCCGCGTTCCAGGAACTGTAACATGGCAAATAGTTTGCAGATATTTAAAGGGTCACTCCAGTCAGTTCTGTCTCCAGTCAGTTGTAAACACTACTGCCCAGCAGTCATATCTTTATTTTTTTCTGTGTAGTTATCCTTTGGATCTATCCGTGCCCTCAAGGCCATCTAACTGCTTTATCATGAAGTATGCAGCCACAACTACTTCCTCCGAGAGCCTCAACTCCTCCTCCTCCTGATGCATACCTGAACTGTGCATGAACTCTAGCTCCTCCCCATCTATGAAAGGGAGTTATACAGCGCTGGAACTGCTAAAGACTAGAGTATTGCTCTGAATACATTTCTGAATACATTTCTGCCTGACTTGAAATTTCAGTTGGTGTGCTGTACGTGATGCAGACGTATCAATTGATTAATATAATTGCGCAACATTTCCAAGGATCTATCAATAGGAAACCTTTATGATTTCCCAATGTTTCACTGATGTAAAACAGTATTACCAGCCTTCCTGGGCTCTGTACAGAGAAGCACAAGTGCTTAAAGACTTACCTGGAGAAAATGGAGCTGCAAGCTCCCTGCAGTGCTGCTCAGATCCCTAAAAAGCTTGGACGTTTGGTCACAGGAGTTCTGTTTGAATCGGAGTTCAGAACTTCAAATTAACTGATCCTTCTATTTACTAGAGATCATGTGACCATACCCCCTAGACATTTGGTCACATGATAACACTGAAGGGAGCCCAGATCAGCATGTTCTCCAGAAAAGTTAAGAGTTTCAGCACTTGTATTGCCTTTAATTAACCGGCCTACCAAGACCGTTACCATTTAACACTTTATATTACTGCGAAACCCAACCCGACAAGAAGACTATGGTCTCACCTAAATGACAGTATCGTCCGTAGAGGCCGGCCTCGCACAGACAAGCCCCGTGAACCTTGTGACAGCGACCCTTGTTGGCACAGTTGCACTTCTTCTTACAGCTCTTACCATAATAACCTTTTGGACAACCTAAAAAAAAAGAAAAGAGTCCAAACGAAAATTATGTATTATTCGATAAATTGACAAGCTGGCCAGCAGCGTGTTGACTAGATGCATTTGCTTTGGGGCCTGAGGTGCAGGAGGGGCCCACTATCATATCCCTGCACATGGTCTCTCCCTAGGCCAATCTTCATCTATTGATAAGAAGATCTTTCTAAAACCTTTACAAAGTCATCCACATTTTTTATTTAAAGGTGGAAGTTGACCCTAAATGGAGTTTGGGTTGGATCGAGCTGAGCTGAGTTGAGTTGGCTTGGGTTGAGTTGGCTTAAGATGGGTTGAGTTGGGCTGGGCTAAGATGGGTTGGGTTGAGTTGGGCTGGACTAAGATGGGTTGAGATGGGTTATGTTGAGATGGGTTGAGTTGAGTTGGCTTGGGTTGAGATGGGTTGGATTAAGATGGGTTGGATTAACATGGGTTGGGCTGGGCTGAGATGAGTTGAGTTGAGTTGGCTTGGGTTGAGATGGGTTGGATTAAGATGGGTTGGGTTGGGTTGAGATGGGTTGGATTAAGATGGGTTGGGTTGGGTTGAGATGGGTTGGATTAAGATGGGTTGGATTGGGTTGAGATGGGTTGGATTAAGATGGGTTGGGTTAGGTTGACATGAGTTGGGTTGAGATGGGCTGGGTTGGGTTGAGTTAGGGTGGGGATGGTTTGAAGCTGGTCCATCAACATCTTTTAACTCTTGAAGGCATGGGCGGCAATTTCCATGCATGCAGGTTCCCAGCTGCACCCACTTTCAGCCCTTCACATAGAGTCTCTAATTTCCTCTTAGAAGGAAATGTGATGAAAAAATATATGGAAGGTGAAAGTTTTTTCAGTCCACCTTCTACTATATAACAGAAAATCCACTTTTGGGTGGAAACTTGATCTACATAATCCATCTTGCAATTAGTACAGCAGTCTAATCCTCAACTTCTGCAATAAAGTGTCGCTGAAGATTAAAATTGGCAACACACAACAAAGACTGTTCTTGCGGTCACATTCACTTACCGTCCTCGCAGAACTCCCCGCTCACGCCCTGCGGACAGTGGCACCCTCCCGTGACCGGGTCGCACGTCCCTCCGTTTTTACACTTGCAGGTCAGGCTGCAGTTCTGGCCATACGAGCCTTCTGGGCAAGCTGCGCTCCAAACACACAGAAGCAGGAAAATGTCAGAACGCGGTTCAATTAATCATGACGGCGCTCAGATGGGCGCCATCATCCCCAGCAGCGTGCAATCTGAGCTAATTGTTTTAATTCCCTGTTTACAGGAAAAGTCACGGCGAGGAATCCGTTCATTTATCATCCCGTGTGAACTCCCGTTATGACTTCCAGAGAGATCGCTGGAAAACAATGGCAACAAACTGACGGAGCAACTCCAGCTGAATGCCATATGGCTGTACATTGCACTCACCAAGAGATCTAATAGGCGTGTGATAGAGCTGGACCAATCAGAGTAAAGATTGATTTTAATGTATAAAATGTTTTTTCCTTGCAGGAGTTAAGCTTATGGTAAAACGAGCCCCCAATTTGGCGCCCGATCTGTAATTTTTCCAATCATCATAGTCAAAACGCTCAAAACATGAACAACTTCTAGGAGTGGGGTTAGGAAAGAAGACTACAAACTTCCATTGTGCTTAAAATGCATTTAAAATGTAATTAGGAACATCAGATAGAGCCAACACGCTTCGGGGGATAAGGTCTCCCCCCTTCTTCATGGCTTGGACAACAATTTGTGATACAATCAGGATATATTGATATAGGGAGCATGAATTCGGGCTGCATTGAAGGCTCCCTAATTAATTTGTATCACAAATTGCGGTTTAAGCCCTGAAGAAGGGTGTCATTATCCCCCGAAATGCGTCGGCTATATCTGACGTTCCTAAATAAAATGTTTTAAAAGCATTTCAAGCGAGATGGAAGTTTGTACTATGAACTCCTAACTACACACATAGAAGACATTCACCTATTGAGTGACTCGATTATCGTAAGCGGAGAGCCAGCAGCGTAGGTGCCAAATTGGGGGCTCACTTTGACCAAAAAGTGAAAAAAATAACTTTGTAACAAATAAATGTTTTTTATACAAATTTCAAGCAAGACGGAAGTTTATGATATGTACAGCTAACCGCACACCTATAGGATCCCAAAGGAGAATTCAAATACCCTCATGATCCTCCCCCCCCCTCCCTCTGCTGTGTTATACGGATAGGAAGCCGACAACACTTTTCGATAATTGCAGTTGTACAGACTCTGTGTCAGGGCCCCTCAATTGAATTAGCCTACAATGCAGACACTCCCACTGCAAGCCTAACTTTCAGCTAGTGTATTCCAACTGACTATAAACGCAGATATCCGATGACAACTTTAGCTTAAAGCAGAACTCCAGCCAAAAATAAGATAAAAAATGATTAGAACAAAACCAGCTTCTGCTGCAATATTCACCTTCTATCCAGAGATTTCCCCCCACAATACTTTTTTCTGCCACTAGATGTCCTCAGTCTGATGGCCAGCAATATGTAACCCATTTCCTCTGAGCCCAGGTCATCCTGGACCCGCCCCCAGCCTGTGACTGTGCGTGTTGCTGTGTGGTCGATCGCACTGTGGCCAGGAGGTGCTTTTGCAGTGCCATCCAAATGAATGGCAATACACTTCCCACCAGTGGTGTCACAAGGGGGGTGCGGCCTGCACCCTGATGCCACCATTGGGAGGGGTGACACCAAAATGACTGACAGTCACCAGTGGCCCTCACCAAAATGGCCGCCATCAATAAGATGACTGCACGCATGTGCGATGACGTCACGGCGGGGTGTCACCCCCCCTCTCTGCTCCGGGTGACACCCGGCCTTGGGATGCCCCTACTTCCCACACTATTAATTGCACAGCAACAGGGCCCTCACACCTACAATCTCCATTGCTCGGCCCTCCACAACAGTCCCAGTTTCTCATGTGGCCCTTTGAGAAAATGAACTGCCCCTTGCTCTAACCTATCCCGTGCATCCATACAGGGTCGGATTAAGAGCCTGGGCCCGGTGCTGTTGGTCAGTCGCATTGGGAAGCAGCAGGGGAGGCGCTCTATTTAGGCGGCGCTGGTGATCTGCGAGGCCTCAGCGGGCGGTTTGCTAGTATGCCTGATTAGGGAGCCGACACCACCTCTGCCTGGTTGTGTTCAGCTGGCCTGGATTGTCATTGGGCATACCTAGGCAATCTGGGCCGGCTGGGCCTATTTTCAGTGGTGGGCCTGGAGCTGGCGTTCCAGTATGTTGATCTGGCCCTGTATCCATATCACTCCATATTCATATAACTTTAATACCGGGAAATGAGCTCACCACTGGATTCTTCATATATATTTTTATTTTTAATTTATCGATGATAACAACAAACTTCAATCTCTCCTCATGTTACTGTTACTATCGGCTAAACCACCCGAGCCTCTTCTTCACGCTTAGCTTGCCGCAATTTGTGGCTAATCCTGCCAATTATTTCAAGTATGAAAACGGTTTATGTCATCGCTCAGTTATTGGCGAAGTGACACCGGAGAATAATAGCAAACGCTTGTCTCAGAAGGAAATGGATGATTTATGAGCTCGGTTTACTGTACGCACCTGGTATGAATGAAGTCAACTAGACTTTATCACTTTCCCAGTGTCATAAAAAGGTATCAGCGCCATCGGGTTTCCTCTCTCCGCACAGTCACTCTGTTTTTTCTGCAGCAACTTATATGACGAAATGAAAAACAGAAATTTTGCTCGCAGTTCCACGTGGTCCCATAAACACGATTCTTGAGTCCGACCGGGGGGAGCTTCCACCAATTATTTCCAATGCTATTGTTAAGTTGGAGATGGGGTGAGGTGGTGGGGGGGCTAAACCAATTATATCTGGTCCAATTGGTTGTTCACCCTAAAGTGGTAAACCAGTAATTCCAGTAAATCAGCCAAAATTTGAAGCGTAGGCGGTCCTGACGACTCTATTTGGCTCAAAAAAAAATGTTTCAATCGAAAAAATTGAAGGAACTGGGTGAAAAAATTGATGGGCAACCAATGACTGCATCCAATCAGCAGCAGGTCCCACCTATCAGAATACAATAGCCAACGTATGTAGAAGAGGCGCTAAGTGTACTTGTTCTCAGTAATCCACATTGGGGATATCTTTGCTCCTTGGAGGACTCGATGAGGTTGCTCGCACAAGGACTCCGAAACAAAAGGAAGATTCAATAAAGAACAGACGGGGCACCACCAAACTATGTAGAGTCCAAATTGATTATTTATTGATAAAGGTCGCCAAATTAAAAATGCCAACGCTTTTCTGGGGTCAACTCTGCTTCCTCCTCAGCCTGACTGTCCCTGGCCTTGCCCCTTGTATTCGTTGGATTTCAGCGCTTTCAATCATGAAGGCTCAGCATCCCATGTGGGTGTTACCTAAGGTGGTCTGCATGCAAATACATTCTGCCTAGAAATGCTCACTCATCCAGACTGATACTCACCCATCAAGTCATTTTGATATTTGCATAACTCCTCCCAAAAACCAGCCCACTGCTTGTATCAGGGCTCTTGAGAGGAGTACTGAAGAAGGGTGCTGTGATGTTTTAAGAAAGCCAAGTACAGCACCCTGCTGGTCCCTCCCACCAGCCATGATCTGCTTGTATTGCATAGAAAAGCATACAAACTCAATGATGACATCACTGGGTCCTTAACACGGTATGTAAAGAAAACAGAAATGTTTTTTAAAAACATTTCATCATCATGTTGATGAGCGAGGAAAGGGTGAAATATAAGCAGATTAAACTTCAGCTTTATATGTGTTTTTTAGGTGCAAGTATCTGTATTTGTCCTGATAACAGCCTCCTGCTGCATCACTCGAGATTGGGAGAGGGATGTGCACTGGTAACGAACATGCTGACAGGAGGGGAGAGCTGAATGATAACCTCATCATTGTTATACAATAGATTTTGGATGCCGGCCATCCTGTGCTGGTATCTTTTGGTGCAGTGGGGTTGGTCTTCTGTGCAGAGTATCCAACCAAAAGAGGCGAGTATGGAAATAAGGTGTTAGATTTAGGTTAGGAAGGGTTAGTATTACAGGTCTTGGCTACAGGAAGACCTGGCATTAGGGTATGGCAGAATTCTCAATGCCAGGAGCTATTGATCAGAAACTACTAATGCTGATCTGCTAGCTCTAAAAACAAATGTTATCACATCAGTGTTCTACTGCCCCTTCATGGTCCAATCAGCATGGTGGTGGGTGTGTCCTTTACCAGATGTTGTTACTGCAGGATTGGAGGAGGTCAGTGGTCTGGCAGAAATGCCTGAATCACAAGACCGGCTATACCTCATTACAAATCCTCTGGCAGGTAGATGTATTTCTGCTGTGTATTAACCTGCATGGCAGAGTTCAGCTTCAGTCATGAGATCTGAAAATGAATCACAGTGCAAATAAAAAGAAATGGCCAAGTCGTCATATTTCCATTGGAAAGAACAACCGCTCACAAAAATCCCAACAAAACTAAACTCTGACACCGCAAGACGGCAACTGTCCTGACGAACGCGGCTTGAACCCAGTCCACAGATCCTGGCAGGTAGAACATGGAACTGGAACAAAAACTGAACATCCTAGAATATAAAAAAAAATCAAACTGTGGTGCACGAATGTTCCAGAAATCTGTTCCAAGGATTGTCGACGACGACGGATTCTATTTTTAAGATGTTAACTGGGGAAGGAAACCTGGACAGCCAAAGTGCTGGATACACAAAAAGAATGTACTGGATTCAGAGAGGAAAAACATGACCACAGAGCCAAACCAAAGCAGGAGCGCCAGTCAAAGCCAACATCAACCTCGACTTCTAGAAGGTGACACCAGTTAAAGGACGCCTTCTGCTGAAGATCTTGTGATTTGATTGAATGTGGATATATAGGAACACATCAATCTATACTGCCTGGCCAACAAATGTCACCACCTGGATATAGTGTTATGATCTGGGGTTGCTTCAGTTGGTCTGGTCTAGGTTATGTGCCCAAAAATGAGGTCAGCTGCCGACCTGAATATACTGAATGACCAGGTTTTTCCATCAATGGATTTATTTCTTCCCTGATTGCACATTGGGCATATTCCAAGATGACAATGCCAGGATTCATCGGGCTCAGATTGTGAAAGAGTGGTTCAGGGGGCATGAGACATAATTGTCACACATGGATTGGCCACCACACAGTCCAAACCTCAACCCCATTGAGAGTCTTTGGGATGTGCTGGAGAAGACTTTACACAGTGGTCCGACTCTCCCATCATCACTACAAGATCTTGGTGAAAAATGAATTCAACTCTTGACAGAGATAAATCTCGTGGCATTGCATAAGGCTATCGAAATGATGCCGCGGCGAATGTGTGCCGTAATCGGAGCTAAAGGCGGTCCAACAAAATATTAGAGCGTGTGACTTTTTTGGGGGCCAGGCAGTGTATAATCTGATGACTTGGCCACATTGGACATAGTGATGGTCTGGCTGTTCTCTTTGGTGTCATGTTGAAGGCCAACTTCAGGCTCTATCTGTATCTCATCTGTGAAGTTGCTGGAGCCCCACTTTAATCTAGGCAGAAGTCATTGACAGAGAGATGAGTTCATCACTGTGTTGCGTCTCCTTTTTCTGTCTGGTGGGCGGGTCCAGGAAAACCTGAGCTCACGGGAAGTGGGCAGAATGATGCCAGCCACCAGACTGAGGACATCTACATGCAGAAAAATTCTCAATCTTTGGTTTGAAGGTGAATATTGCAGCAACAGCTGGTTTTGTTATTTTTTTTATTGGGCTTTATACATTTTATTATAGGCTGGAGTTCTGCTTTAAAATCCAATTGGCATGTATTAGAAGTTCAACAAGTTACCCCAAAAAAGTGATGCTTCAGTACTTACTCTGATTGCATATGAGCCCCGTCCATCCGGCAGCACACACACAGCCACCCTTCTCCGTGTTACAAGCTCCTCCGTTCTGACAGTCATCACACGTCAAGGTGCAGTCTGGACCAAACGAGCCTTCAAAGCAAACTGCAATTTCCAAAAAAAATCAATGTTAATCCAACTGGTTTATTTCTATTTACAAAGCTCAAGCTGAAATTTACACATAGCTGAATGCATCAGCAGTGACCCCCTCTCCCTCTCTTCAGAAGTCTCTGTAAAAGTTTCAATCAGAGAGAGACAGAATGAAAGCAAACACAGCCCCTTTCATTCACTGGATTTCAGTTATTTCAATAGTGAAGGCACAGCATCACATGTAGGTGTTATATAGGGTGGTCAGCATGCAAATACAGTTTGCTTAGGAATTCCCACTCCTCCAGACTGATATTCACCCATCAAGGCATTTTCATATTTGCATAACTCCTCCCAGTAGCCAGCCTACTGCTTGCATCAGGGCTGAGGGCTCTTGAGAGGAGTACCGAGGCAGTGTGCTGTGGTGTTTTCATGAAGCTATGTACAGCAGCCTGCTGGCTCCCCCACCAGCCCTGATCCGCCTGCATTGCATAGTCAATGGGTCTAAAATAAAATATGTAATAGAACAAACTTTTATTTAAAATTCCCTGTAGCATATTGATGAGGGGGGTGGGGGAGGGACCAGGGAAGGCTATATAAAAGCTTCAACTTCTGCTTAAACGATTCTACACATACAGTACACATTGCTATGTTTTCTTTTTTTTTTCTGTTTCTATAAAGGTTGCGGTTTGTTCGTTTCCAGATGTATTTTAATAATGGGAACTCTGGTTTGAATATACTAAATAAACAATTACTCAAAATTATTATTAAGACCACCCATGCTTTAAAGAAAACATGTTTATCCAATTTTAAGTAGAGGATTGAACTCCCCACTTAATCAAGCAGCATCGTCCAAATATGAGAAGGGATGACTGCCTGGAGTACCGAAGTTCAGCTATAGAGTTTTAGGTGAGAAATGTAATATAGAAGGTTGGAGAAAATGTAGAAAGTAAAATTCAGAAAAATTGTAATGTACAGTAGAAGTGGGGAAAAACGAAAAGGTTTGGTGGGTCATTTGTTCTTACAGCCGGAGTCTTCATCAGCATGGCGGATGACCTGATATCTTTCTGCTCTGAAAATTATTTGAAAGCACCCTGCGACTGCTTCAAACACAGAATTGCCAGCACTGAGGATAAAGAATTGGGGTGGTGGGTAGTCAGTCAGATTCCCTTAACTATACCATAAACCAATGTGTAAGGAGTCATTGGTAATCTTTCCACACATGGGAACAATGTGCAGAGGCTCCCGGTTCAGACAAAATAAAAAAGTTCTCGCAAAGCTCTTTGAAGATATCATCAAAACCTGCAATCATGATGACAGTTGCACTTAAGTCCAAGAAGGAGCAATCAAACACCTTCTAATGGACTCGAGATAGAACAAAAAGGCTTCTGGTGGCTGGCCCAAGAAGGTACATGTATTTTTTGCTAACAGGCCTAGTAGAAGGTAGGTTCCTATTAATGAATTCAAAAACGTCCAGTCAGGCTCCTGGTAGGAACTCCAAGAAGTGCCAGGTAAGCTACTGGTAGGAACTCCAAGACTTGCCAGGTAAGCTACTGGTAGGTACTCCAAGAAGGACTAGAAAGGCTCCTGGTAGGAACCCCAACAAGGGCCAGGTAGGCTACTGGTAGGAACTCCAAGAAGGACTAGGAAGGCTCTTTGTAGTGTGCAGTAAATTTTTTAGGGAAATAAAAAATTCTGTGGCAGGTTACCGAATGATTCAGACAATGTGTGCTCGCCGCGAGCTTCTGCTTCCTCGTCCTCATCGTACTCATCATCAAATATCTGGGGGAACTCATCTCGCAGCAGAGTCACTTGAGGAAGAGAGTTTTCCACAGGAAGCTGTCCACCTCCTGTTCCCTGCAAGGCTGGGAAGAAAGAATAATATGTAACAAAACTGCTTCGGGCAAAACATAAAACCAAGAACGGAAGGCTATCCACAAATCTTCTAAACCAGGAAGTTTACTCTATTTACCCTTAATCTGAGTTAATCTAACTTTAATTTGAGTCACATGTGGGACTAGATCCCAGTGCTATAGAGTCCCCGCAAATATCAATTTTAAAATTCATGGCACTGTTGATATATAGTAGTGCAAAATGAAACATTTTGGCCATGTGCTCTGGTTCTGTTGGCTGTTGGACTGCCTAACAGATCACATAAGCAGCCTCTTGAGATCTATCACATAGGGAGCTTTATGAGATATATCACATAGGCAGCCCCATCAGATCTATCACATAGCAAGCCTCATGAGATCTATCACATAGCAAGCCTCATGAGATCTATCACATAGGCAGCCCCATCAGATCTATCACATAGGCAGCCCCATCAGATCTATCAAATTGAAAGCCTCATGGGATTTATCACATAAGAAGTCCTATCAGATCTACCACATAGGAAGCCGCATAAGATCTATCATATAGGCAGTCTTATCAGATCTGTGACATTGGAAGAATCATGGATCTATCACATAGGAAGCCCTATCAGATCTATCAGATTAGAAGCCTCATGGGACATAAGTCCTATCAGATCTACCACATAGGAAGCTGCATGAGATCTATCAAATAGGCAGCCTTATCAGATCTATCAGATTGACAGCCCAACAGCCAACTGAAGAAGCTCCCATGGCAAGCTGACAACACTACTTATAATTACTGCAGGATTTCCAGGAAACCAACTTTGCAACATTTTGCATATGAAAACACTATACGCTGAGGTATGATGCCAAACATACTGAACATAGATTTCAGGCTTATATACATTTTAAGTAAACCCAAGAAACGTGAAGTACAAGTATGCCTTACCAGTACATCCTTTGCCATCAGGGTCCAGCCTATACCCGGGATTACAGCTGCAGGAGGATGACCCAGGGAGGTTCTCACACACTTGGCTGCACCCCCCATTGTTCGATAAACATTCATTCACATCTAAAGAGAAATGATGAGTAATACACAATCGCAGGATAATCCAAAACTGCAACAATGACTTTAATAACTTCATTCCACATGTTGCCATTTTAGTTACCATCACAGCCGCATCCATCAATGTTAAGCCGATAGCCCGGATAGCAGACGCACTCATAGCCGCCGATGTAGTTGGAGCACACCTGCTGACAGCAGGAGGCGCCGTTGGTGCACTCATCGACATCTAAATGTAAAAGAAATTATATTAGTAAAACGATTTAATAATTGTAAGAGATTGGCATCATTGCATTCTTACTACCATATGAGACATCACAATGGTACAGAATTTAATTCGGGATGGTGGAGATATTAAAAAGAAATCTTTGCTGTGAAAAAAAGATGTTCAACCACTGCTGATCTCTCCTTCTGAAAAATGCCAGTAGCCTGTTTGTCATACGGATCCTTTGGTTTCATAACAGTTTAAAACCCCAATAGAATTGTTCAGAGTTAGATCAGAGTTCTGAGTTCTCACTGCATGCATATTCTGGGACAGACTTGCACGGACAGAGAGGAAAAGTAAGGCACAGACCTTGTGCTGCACTACCAAGGAGGAAGCAAAACCTGCTTATGTAATGTGAAAATACGCAGAGCAGGATTTCTGCATTGCCAACACCGGCCATGGCCTAGGGCAGTAAGGATGGCTAGGGGAGCACAGAGCTACCTACACATCCCATGTATAACAAAATATAACACGTCCAGGTCCTTGTTGTTGTGGCCAGGTATCATTTGTACATTTGTTTTGGTGGAATATTCTACTTTGTAATTACAGTTCAACCTCTCTGGGTCTGTGGAAATAGAATTGAACTGGCAGAGTACAAGGAAAATATCAAGTTATCAACTTCAGCTGTTTATATTAGTGTGATAGGGCTAGTCAACTCTTGGTAGGTTGCTTGGTAGGAGAGGGCAGAGCAAGAAAGTCCTGGGTGACAGATGTCTAATCCAGTCCTGCAAATATAGCTGCCCACAGGTTCATATATACAGGGCCGTATTTCCCACAAGGCCAACCGAGGCCCGGCCTTGGGGCAGCAGGGAGTAGAGGGGCAGCAGGGGTGTGGAATTCCAATCTCCCGACGCTTAGGACATGCAGTTCCGGGCGCTGGGTTGGTAGTTGTATAAGCAGGGCTAAATATACAGCGGGGAAGCTGCCACTTGTTTTGTACAAGTAATCTCTGCGATGCCGACATCACTTGTATGCAGCCTGCATACAGAGGGGCACATTGAGGAACCTGGCATTGGGGCATCATGCATATGCAGGCCCTGCATATACAGTATATTTACACATTAAACTTAGAAACGAGGATTTAAAACTGTAACACACACTGATAAGGTTAGTTATGCTCTGTTTACCACTGGATCTAAAATAAAAGAAAGGGTAATGGGGGAAAGAAATACAATGTCCGCCATTGCTGACCCCCTCTTCAAAAGCTAATTTCCTGGAAACCCTGACCCAGAACATGTATTCAGATCAGGAAAACCCCAAATAAAGTCAAAGGTCCTTATCTATATGCTTTTCTTGGGTCGCTATACATGCAAAACTTTTATTTTTGGTGTATGTACACTTCAACCCTTCTGACCCCTGCACGGCCCAACTCTGAGATGTCAGATACAGTGAAGGAAAGCACGGAGTTACAGAGGCAGCGTGAGCAGTTGTAGAACAATGCACAATCCCAGCATGAACCCAATCATACAAGACTTTTATTCTTGCCTGCAAAGCAACGCCTTAGACTCTGCCAATCATCACAGCTCACGGCTAAAACACTGAATCTTGTAAAAGTTTACACAGCGGAGACTTGTTCTATCAGGAAATACCTTTGTCCAAAGATTTACCAAAAGCTTCAAAATAGCTCAGGAAAAAAATAAAGTATAAACCGCCTCATAGTAGCCGCTCTTCAGATCTATTTGATGTAAGTCTCCAGGGTATAGATGGATTTAGCCGGCGTGAACTATGACAGGCCAGCTCCGGTTAAACAGTTTATTTAGCTGTCGGCAATTTCCAACACTGAACTGTAGGGACACTTTTCACATCGCTACATATTTAATCAGGCTGAAGAAAAAGACACCTCCATCATAATTCTGGATGAATATACACATCAATCATGGGATTTATGATAGCTATTACTGTACTGTATACTTTTATTATTATTGCCCCTATTAATCAGTAAATGGACTTGTGATTTTTGGATGCATAGGTTTTATTATGGTTGTTACTTTTTAATACATAATGATAAGACTTTTATAACTATTTTTCATTCTGCTATTACGATACTATAAACTATTGCTTAATATCTATATGAATTTTAATATTGTTTGTACACCCGTGACTTTTTATTAATTGGATTGATTCCAGCCCTGATGAAGGGGGCACCGATCACCTTTCATTGCTTATCCTCTGGGGAAAGATCAAAGCTTTAACAAAATCCAACTTACCAATACAGGTTTTCCCATCAGAATCCAGATCCAAGCCTTGGGGACACAGACAAAGGGGACCTGTACTGAGACAATCATGGGAGCATCCACCGTTGTTTGTTTCACAACTGTTAATTATCTCCATTTCTATCCCTGATTTGGAAAAAACAAAAAGTGCTGTAAGACAAATAGAAGCCGCTCTCTTCCCAGAGGAAGATTTTTACCTTTAACATATGGGGATGTTGTGCAAGCTCCTTCAGTTGGCCATTCGTCTGCTGTCAGTGGTTAGAAAGGCACCCCAAAGTAAGCTCCTTCAGTTGGCCATTGGACTGCTGGCTGTGGCGAGAAAGGCAGCCCAATGTAAGCTCCTTCAGTTGGCCATTCGTCTGCTGTCAGTGGTTAGAAAGGCACCCCAAAGTAAGCTCCTTCAGTTGGCTCTTGGAATATTGCCAGGGGCTAGAAAGTTAGCCCAAATAAGCTCCTTCAGCTGGCTATTGGATTGCTGTCCGTGGCCAGAATGGCAGCCCAAAGTAAGCTCCTTCAGTTGGCCATTGGACTGCTGGCTGTGGCGAGAAAGGCAGCCCAATGTAAGCTCCTTCAGTTGGCCATTCGTCTGCTGTCAGTGGTTAGAAAGGCACCCCAAAGTAAGCTCCTTCAGTTGGCCATTGGACTGCTGTCAGTGGCCAGAAAGGCAGCCAAATGTAAGGTCCTTCAGTTGGCCATGGACTGCTGTCAGTAGCTAGAAAGGCAGCCTAACATAAGGCCTTCAGTTGGCCATTGGACTGCTGTTAGTGGCCAGAAAAGCAGCCAAACATAAGCTCCTCCAGTTGACCATTGGACTGCTGTCAGTGGCCAGAAAGGCAGCCCAATGTAAGCTCCTACAGTTGGCAATTAGAATGCTGTCAGTGGCCAAAAAGGCAGCCCAAGGAGCAAATGAAGCATCACATATGGCAGGCTGACATTACTATCACAGTGGCTTAGTGTTGTCAGCCTGCAACAGGAAGAGCTTTCACTGCCAGGATCTCGAAGTAAGAAGCTATGCCAAACATACTGAAAAATATAAATATTCAGTTTGCAGACACTTTAATGGAATTAAAAACCTTCCACTAAATCTGTGCTAAGCAAACTAGAGTCATATTAAAAACACAATGGGGGGAATTTATCAAAGCAATTGACAGTTTTAGCCTCTTAGATCATTTTTTTTATGTGCAAATCTGTCTTTTAATATGTGCCCCTGTTTTCACCTGCGCTTGCACTACTTTTCCAACTGCACGTGTTTTGCACCTGTTTTGCCCAGAGCTTGCACTACTTTTTCAATTGCAAGTTTTTTGCACCTGTTTTGCACCTGTTTTCATCTGCACTTGTTCTGCAGCTGTCTGAAACTGGAGCATCACCTAAGAAAACACTCACAACTTATGAAGTCCCCATGACCACTTCTTCAAGAAGCAACAGTTAAGTTTTTGCCTAAAGTTGCGAGTCTTCTTTCCTGGAGTCTATTGAACCTCATTTATCAACAACATTACACTAGCATCATAACTTTGGTGCAAAGCGCAAGTTCAAAACACTCGCAATTGCTATGATAAATTCCCCCCAATTTGCATGTCCCCCTTTCCTCACAAATACAAAATATAAAGCCTATACTTCACCTTTGTCTCCACTATGTTTCTTCTAAAATGGTTTTGGTTGGCCCCTCTTTATACTGCACCTGTGTGCTGCAACCCTGTTCACTCCAGTATAAATGAGCCATACTCTGAGCAACTGCTTGTGGCCACCATGAGTATGGTTACCCAGAGGAAAAGGGCCACAGCACACATGCACAATATGAAGAGGGATTGGCCAGGACCTTGTCCTAAAAAAAAAAAAAAAACATTGCTGCAATAGGGAAGAAGGTTGAATAGGATTAGGCTGACTGTACTCAGGGCCGGATTTCCCACAAGGCCAACCAAGGCCTGGCTTCGGGGCAGCAGGGAGTAGAGGGGCAGTGGTGGTGTGGAATCTCTATCTCCCGAGTCCCGGGTAGTTATTTTCTACATTTAGCCCTGTTTTGGACAAGCAGAGCTAAATGTATAGGGAAGCCGCCACTTGTTTTGTGCAAGTGATCCCGGCGATGTCACCGAGATCACTTGTATGCAGCCTGCAGGTCTGCCATTCTCCATTGGGATAGGAGGTGCATTAAGGAACCTGGCCTTGGGGCAACAGAGAGAGTAAATCCGGCCCTGCCTGCACTCATCTATGTTGGGGTATTTATTAAAGGATAACTTCAAAAAGTGAAGTTGTCCGTTAAGTTGACTTTCAGGTTAGCAGGGAGGACCATTCCTTTATTCTAGGAACAAAATAAATGATTTGTATGGCTCCACCCACTATTCTAAAAGGAAGAATTTTGAATAAAAGGCGGGTTTGTGATGACAGTGCGATATGCATGGGAAGAAATGGCTCCCTATGGAGTGAGGGACACATGTAGATTATTAAATCACACTCATTTGGAGCATTGTACAATCACATGCGATTCATTGCTACTACATGCTCCTTGTTTAACTCAAACCATAGGGAGCTGTTTTTTCCCCATCTTTGTAGCGATCGATCGCAACTAAGCAATTGATCGCTTCTGATTACAATAACGCAATCCAGCTCATCATGCTGAGAAATGTTGTGCTTTCTCTCGAGTTCCATTTTATGAAAATCTTCAAAACTCAAATACAAGTCTTCAAATCTATACGAGAGAGAGAAACAGCAAGAAAACAGAATAGGGAATATTGTGCTTTTCTGGCAGAGAAAGATAAAATATTTCACAGCCAGAGAAGCAGATTTTCTGCAGATGTTGAAGACGGCAGAGCAAGCTTGGCCCCCCCACCCCATGGAACACTTACTGTAGCACTGCTTTCCATCAACTCCTAACTCGTACCCAGGACTGCAACCGCAATGGAAGGAGCCGCGAGTATTCAGACAGCTGTGCGCACACATGGCCTGCCCCGTCACGCACTCATTAATGTCTTTAAAAAAAAGAAGAGGGGAGAGATTATTTGACATTAGAACAGGGAGATGGAGCTCTGAAACAATTCAGCCAAGAATAATATTCCCCTGGATGGAACGAGAAAAAATAAAATGGTTTAATTCGTAAATGCTTTTACTGTAGTCTGCAAGGGCTTATTAAGAGCTGGCTGAGACAATTACAATTCAGCTTGTGCGATGAAGATCTAATTAATACCGCCGGTGCGAAATGGACTGGCAGAGCAGACGGCAGCGGGGAAATGGAAATTAAGATCGTCACCTTAATAGGATTGCAAATTAACCGTCTGCCCTGTACATAGTGAGGGTACATTATTATACAGTAAACTCCCCGTTATCCGGCATCCACGGGGATTGGTAGATTCTGGATAAATGTAGTTTCTGGTTGCTTGAGAGTTACTATTAAAAATAGGTCTAACTAATGCCGTACCCCATTCCATACCATATCATATACTCTGTATTGACTCCATATTAATAATGAAATGCAGTATTCGACAGCAAATTAAGACAAATAGAAACATAATTTCCAGGATAATGCATGCCGCAGATCAGCAGAACAATGAGTACACAGGGGATTTTTTTTTTTTTTTGGTTAGATGAGAGTTCTGGTTAGTTGAATACCGGATAACAGAGTTTACTGTACCTTGATTTAAATATACTATGCATCGTTGGAAAAACCTGCAACAAAGTGATCTGCTGATCTCTCTGACCAGTCAAGTCAATCTACCAGTGGCTGTAGACACTTGATCACTTGGCCAAACCAAGTATGTTTGTTTATGGGAGTGACAGCAGTGCTGAAAGGGGGTCAATACGTGTCTGCATGACTGACCACCTCCTAGCACTGCTGCTCACATGAACATGTATGCATGGTTTTCCCAAGTAACCAACAATAGAAAGAAAAGCTCCAGACCAATAATAGAGGAGTCCAGCAATAGATGATCCTGAAGACACTTTAACCATTCAGTAGTCACGGAAAACAGGGGCATCCAGGCCTGCAAAAGCAGCCTTACCGAGGCCAGCGAGCTTTATCGATTTGATTGACCTACAACATTAAATCACTATTTTCCAATGTTCCGAGTCCCTCTTAGACATCTATTTTGGTTTTGGTAAGTGGTCACGTTTGATGCTAGGAAAGAGGTGAAGGTGGATAAAGAGACAGTGCCTTTTATCCTGTAGGGGAACAATACGTTTTTGCACCATCTGCTCTTGGGGTGAGTGTCCCCTAGACAAGTTAGATGGTCACCTAAAAACAGCCAGGTGATCTTACGTCTATGGCAGCTATACAATTTCCACCTGTCTTAAAAATATCTGATTTAGTAAGATGAGGCATCACTGAATATTGTATATGATTTTTTTCCCACTTTTCGACATTTCCTGTTAGGCACAATTAACTTAACATATAACATATAACATAGCAAATTGTCACTTTCTGAGCACAGGTCCGCATTACAGATTTTTACTCACCTCAGCCAAATTATAACTAAGCTTTCGTAGACTTCCTCTTCAGCTTCTCTCAGCATAACAATTTCCTGATCTATACTCCAAAAAGTTTTGGATATTACTGAAACCCTGAATGGTGCAGCCTAACGTGGACAAGAGACATATCCTAAAATCCCTTTTAAAACCCAATGTGAGGATAAGTGGTCCATCGTCTATTATTATTATACAGGATTCATACAGCGCCAACAGTTTGCGCAGCACTTTACAATATAAGGAAGACATTACAATTACAATACAATTCAAGACAAGATGGCAAGGAGGGTCCTGCCCATGAGGGCTTACAATCTATAAGGGAGGGGCAAGTGATACATGAGGAGGTAGCTGTGTGGGGATGAATTGTTTGAGAAAGTGATAGATCAGTGGTTAGGTTGAGGTCGGATAAGCTTCCCTGAAGAGATGAGTCTTAAGGGATCGCCTAAAGGCATTCAGAGTGGGAGATAGACTAGCAGGTTGGGGTAAAGAGTTCCAAAGAATGGGGGAGACTCTAGAGAAGTCCTGGAGGTGAGCATGGGAGGAGTTGACAAGGGAGCTAGAGAGCAGGTGGTCATGGGAGGAGCGTAGGGAACGGTCAATACTTTGCAAAGAAGCCATGAAACGAATGGTGGCTTTATCTGGAGATAAAAAAAGCCATTTAGTAAGTCTAGTACCATAGACATTGGGCAATTCTGCCTGTAGCATTCAGTAGTGTCAGTTGGCTTTCTGAACCAACGCTAGGAGAGCGACAGCTAAAATGTGATTTGCAGCTTTAGTTTTCATAAATATGGCCGATTACCCTGACCTATTCAGCTCACATTATTACCTTTCTGTACCTTACTGAATGGTGGGCCCCTAATTACTTTCCATGTGGCCTCATCGTGCTTCACTCCAACAATACCAAACAATTTATTGTGTGTTTACAGAGAACACAGCAGGCCATCAAAGCTACTTTCTGAACAACAGCCGGTGAATGTCAATCAACTTTACAGAGCAGAACAATTTTACGAGAACTGGAAAGTATTTTATAGATAATCGTACTATGTGCCCTCAGGAGTGTTTTTCATTCAGATGTTTTTACTTAAAGTGTGTTATACCTTTTTTCTCATACCACTGTAAGTACTTACCATACATGACAATAATATACCTCAAATGTTGACTTAATAGACCCTGGACTGACAAAATGTTTCTAAGTTAGCAGAAGAGCTGAAGTGGAGATACCTTGTAGCCCCTGGAGTTATCTCTTTAGTCTTGGGACAGGTGACTTGTGAGACCTTGGAAATGGGCTGCACTGGGCTATGACTTTAGTCCAAGTCACGTTTAGTGTTGAATCAGTTTTTTATTAGTTTTTCCAACAGTTTTCAAACAGTCCATAACAGTACTCAATCAGTGTAATACATGACATCGTAAGATATGGGGTCAAGAGTATAACATTGTTGGGCCGGCATTGGCAACCTAAAGCCAGTATACATATCGTCTTTTATCAGCTTACATATCACAAAATGCTAAGGCACATATATGGTGTGTAGGGCGTATGTCAAAAGGGTTAACCTTCTCGCATTATAGACATGGTAATCTAGCGTGATCCTTGCCAACACCTCTTAATAACATCTCCAAACGAACAGTTTGAACATCAGGTTGTGTCAGGAAGAGTATGTATAGAGAGGAAGACAGATAGAGAAGAGCAGGGAAAGGAGGGTAGGTTGGGAGAGAGAAGATCGGGGGGGTACTTCACATGGACCGAGTGTGTACCAATAGCTCCTCCATGTGCATTATATCGTTGACTTGGCTAACCCATATGGAGAGTGGCGGTGTAGCTGAGGTTTTCCAGTATAAGGGAATTACTTGACGGGCTTCGGACAAGATATGTCTCAGAAGCATATTTTGGGGGGGGGTTTCTGGATCCTGGCAGGAGCAAAAGTAAAGTCACAGCCACAGCTGGTGAAGGTGCTAATGTATCTCCATATAAGTGATTGTAGATCTCAAAGATTTTTTGCCAAAACGAGAAGATCAGGGGACATATCCACCAAATATGTAAATACGTACCCCTTACCTCATTGCACCGCCAGCAGGTCTGGAGAAGAAGGGAAGATTTGATGTAGGGAGACCGGGTCTCTGTACCACCTAGTAATGATTTTGTAATTCTTTTCCTGGGCATATGAGGAGATAGATGATTTATGAGTGTAGTGATAAATGGTGGTCCAGTCTGAATCCGACAGGTCCCTGTTCAAATCGGCACAACATTTGGTCCGAGAACTCAATGGTATCTGATGAAGAACATCTCTCAACATCCCATAAATGACTGAGGCTGTGTGGCGAACCCCCTCTTTGGAGACAAGTAAACTTTCAAAGTCCGTCAGTGGTCTGTGAATTTGCCCCAAGGAATTAAGTGTCGAGCAAAAGCCAGACAGTTGTAGGTCTAGCAGCCAGTTTCCAAGTCAAGTTTAAGCCACAGCCCTCCTAACACTAAGCCCTCTCTGTCCAATTAACTGTCAAAACCCAGAGCCTCTGATATCCACCAATGTTGTATCATTTGACAAATGAACAATGGGGGAAAGGCATAGTGTTGGAGTCTGAAGGCGTATTCTTGACTTGGAGAGGTTTAGACCTCTGAGCCCATGATCCAAGGAGATCTACAGGGACATGGGGATTGATTTAAGATTAACACTGTTACTTTCAGGTGCTACAAGGTTCCTGACTTCATGTAGTAGAAACATTTAAATCCCAACTTCAGCCAAAACTTTTTATTAGTTTTGTATAGAGTAAGGGAAGGTAATGTTTTTAGACCCATCTGGGCATCTTGTTGGGAATATTGGGAATATTTATCTTCTCTTCCAGGTTAGAAAATGATAGGAACGAAGACAAAAACACTATTTTGTTATAGAGTGATGGACCTTTTGACAATGTTTTATTTTGATTTCTGAGCCTTTCTGTCCTGGTGACAACTGCTTCCCCCTTTCTCCTATCTCATTTCTTGTCTTGGTGTCACAAGTAAAGGAAGTGTATTAATGGAAGCGGTTGTCAGTGGGGCTTCCTGTCCAATGGTTGTCCAGCATGACCAACACAGATGGCATTAAAAACCTCCCAGGCACTCTAACCCTTGCCTGCTCTATCCAAAACACAATTGAAAGTTTTGGCTTGAGTTCGGTAACTCAGTTTCAGGAGGACTAACCCTTTGAACTTTATTACATACATCCACCTTGCATGCCCTACCTTCACACGTCTTGCCATCGGCTGCCAGTACATATCCCGGGTGACACGAACATCTGACGACTCCTCCATTATTGTTACACTGGTGCATGCATCCTCCGTTGCGCGAAGAACATGGATTGGATACTGGAGACACACATGGAACCGATTTAAAAGCGGAATTTGTACAAACATCCTCTAGAACATTATACTACGCTGTGGTCAGGAAACGCATGTTGAAAATAATTAGACATAGCAGTAAATGAGGCCAAAAATTTGCTACTAACAGCAGTCACAAAGTAGGAAAATCAGCAGCATTTTCAATAAAAATCGAGTTTCCTAAAAATAGAAAATATTAAGTGAGATAGGAATGTCCTGTATGTCACAAGCAGAGCATAGATCTTATATGACAGACAGAAAAAAAGAGCATGTCTTCAAGCAGAACTCCACTGGATTTATCAAAACTGGAGCAGACAAAATCTGGAGCAGTTGCGCATGGTAACCAATCAGCTTCTCTCTTCAGTTTGTTCAGTTAAGATTTGAAAATGAAAGAGAGAAGCTGATTGGTTGCCATGCACAGTTACTGCAGATTTAGTCTGCTCCAGTTTTGATAAATTCCCTTCAGTGAATTAGTGAATTATTTCTGCAATTATTACCTTTATTCAAAAATAGATAGCTTCCTATATAATTGGTTTGCTTTTTATTTATATGAATATTGGGGTTGGGGGAAAACTGCACCTTCCACAGAACAGTATTCGGTAGGTAGTTAGCCCATCCCATAGTAACCAGTGACTTTACCTTAAAGAAAACATGTACTAAGAGAAATAATGGGGATGCCATTTACCAAATCATTGGTAAATTCTTCGTCTAGTTAGCTGGCTGTCAAGGTGGTCCAAAGGCTGCAATACTTTCCAAGTTGCTGTCCAAAAACCAGCATGCAGGATAGAAAGTCGGAGTGAAGACAGAACTCCTGATTTGCATGCTTCTTTCAGATCAGTGGCTCAGAAAGTGCGGAAATCTTGACATGCAACTTGCATATCCTTGAAAGGAAAGGTCAGCAATGGACTTGAAGTATGAAATGGATATGCAGTAATGGGATTACTAAGCTTCCATGTTACATATATCTCCAAAATGAAAGGGTCAAGGTTAGGATATCTCATTACTGGTCCCTGCACAAAGTGAGGTGTCGGGTTCAGGTGTGTGTATCCTTTTGGAGGTTTCCCACTTTTAGGATGAAAATGCTATATCTGCTTACATGCCCCCTTTCTTCTGACTGGATGAGTCTTCCAGCTAGGAAGTGATCAAGCATAGCTATGGACACCCTGAGTTTTCCATGATGGACTGAGACACACAGGCTCCATCCAACCTTGGAAACCCATTGAAAAGCTACTATTTTGTTAGTGTGCACTGAAAGCCAAGTAAGGCATTGGTAGCTTTAGAGAAGTTTAAACGCGCAGTAAAAGTGGATCCTTGGTGATCTGCTTGTGATACATTGGTTTTGCCATATACGTTTTGGGCATGATCATTTTAGCGCCCTGTAATTTATCATACTTTATCTAACTCCTAAACCTGACCCCTAACCTGAACCTACCTTATAACTACTCCATGTTACCCGTCAATAGCCAGAAAAGCTTTTACTTTGCCCCTCTTAGAATTGACTTTGTTAATGAAGCCTGACTTCCACTCATTTGATAGCTAAGATCAGGGCCATCCCTATAATAAGACAGCCATTGGGTTACTTTCTGGCCACAGTGTTTCAGAGCTCTTAGCATCCTGTAACGCTCTGTCTGGAGTCCTGCCCAGCTCTTGGCAACCAGTGACATCAGTGAGCAGGGTGCGACACCGTGGACCTCGAACCGCTCCCCCGTCCACCCTGGAACCGGAAAAGAACTGCCCCCAAACATGCATTAAGAGCAAGTAACCCTGCACCTGCCCCACCCACCCCGAATGTGCATCACAAGCACCTCAGTCGGCAAGACATCTATTGAGGGCCTAGTATCCAGTAAGGGCACTCAATGGAAATTGGAACAACAATAAGTGAAGCTTTGCCACAATGTCAGGGAAAGTTGAGTTCCTCTAACCAAGTGAAAAAGGTGACAAAGTTGTCATTGGGTAAGAGCAGAAGTGAAGGGAAATCTCTCCAAAGATGGCAGTAAAACAGAGAGAGGTTCCAACTCTTCCCAACACCATCCAAACAAAACGAAAAGAAAAGAGATAAAATGTTTTTGCTGAAAAAGTGAAAATATATTAATGTTAAAAAGTTTAAAACATAGTACAGGATTGCTTAGCCTAACCCCCAAAAATAAAACCTGACCATTA